ATGGAGTGCTTAAATCTATAACCGGAGAGTCAGCGGTCAGAGATATTGTGCAGTTTGTGCCCTTCAAGCAGTTTGCCAATGTATGAACCCCTTTTTTTAATTATTTTAAATGAAACAAAATGTAAGGTTTTAACTCTTTAAATGTAACTTTTTTTTTTAATCAAATTAGTTAAATTGTGTTTTTGAAACTCCTGTAAACAAATTGAGTTTTTTTATTTTATTGCTAACCTATTGACAAAAGGTCAGCCAGGCAGTTACTGTTTAAAGCTCCCAGTTATATAATTTTTAAAAAATCTTAAAGGCAGACATACACAGTACAAATTCTAATGGCCAGAAGATTGTATGCTACTCATGCTAAATGGTTGGTCTGCTGTTTACAGTTTGTCAGACACTAAACAAATAGCAATTTATATCCATTTGTATGATCAGAAATGTTGGTGTTGCTTTTACTTCATCAATTTGATTTGAAGTCCACATCCTTTAAATTTAGATAGGCATGAAAAGTTGATTTGGTTTTAAAGCACAGTGAGTATGTTTATGTGGACCCCAATTCTCGGATATTAATACGATTAAGACAATACTCTGATTAAGAGTCTAGCATGTAAACAGCGATTTTTATTTTATATATTTTTTTAAATTAATTAATTTATTTTTAAAATATTTGTTTATTTTGATTGATTATCTCCGATTAAGGTCATAATCGAACTAAACGGAAATCGAATTAAGACGTGGAGTATGCCGATTTTAGTAGCAGTGCAGTACAGACATGTAAACACCTTAATCAAACTGTTCGCCACATTTTGTGACAGGATATTTCACACACACATGGCTGTTTGACACTATTCTCTGCACCTATTGAGTCAATAAAGGAACACAGACAAATACACACACCGTGAAATGCAGAGGGTTTTTTCCCGTACCATATTAAATTTCATAAAAATTAGTGGTGGGCCGTTATCGGCATTAACGTGCTGCCTTACTGCTAGACTCTTATCGTGCGATTAAAAAAATATTCTTAAAGACTTATTATTTGGGTAGCACACATATTCAACACTGTTTCATTTACAATGATCTTTTATGTGAAGCTGCTTTGACACAATCTACGTTGTAAAAGCGCTATACGAATAAAGGCGAATTAAATTGAATATTTAGAATGCCTTCGGCTGAATTTAAATGAGCCATTTTAATTCAGATCAAACTAGATTAATTTTGAGCTTAATTTAGATTTAAAAAATGTATATATGCCCACCTATATTAAAAATACACTCTTCAAGCAATTCATATTGACATTCAATATCTCGTTTGTCACAGGGGACAAGCATGAGATGTTCCTGAATGAAAGTGAAAGTGCCAAACTGCAGTTAAAGTCGATGAATTAAAAATAGAATTTCCTGAAATTACATGAAAATAAAAGAAATGTGGATAGTGCAGTGGCACAATGACATTAATCCAGTTATATGCTATAACTTGTAAAATGGGATCCTGAAAGGAACGTACTAAAAGCAGCTCATGAAAACACCTTAATCATATTACTGCCTTATGCAGAAAAAGACAAATAATTTGATTACTGAGCTCCATGTAAACATAGTCGGTGTCAACAACACAAGCTAAACTCTAGTTATTATTAGTTTTTAAAACTAGTCTTTTTTTAAACTAAGGTTATACTGAAAAAAAGTATATGTACATAACAAGAGTTTTGACACATTGCTTTATATGTTGTGTTAGAAATGGCTAAATTTAAATGTTAATAGTGTAAGAAAATCATTTGCACTGACCATTAGAAAAAAAACTTAGCATTTGACCCTGCTTAAGTCTGAAGTGTACTTTATAATGGCCTTACAAATGTCTTAAGTCCTTCATTTGACTTGTGAAACCTGCAGAAAGCCTTCAAATAAGCCTAATTTAGGCATGTTTTCATTGCTGTCAGTACTTACACCTTTCCTCTTTTTGCATCTCAATTTCTCTTTTAGGCTCCTAAAGAAGCACTTGCTCAGAGCGTTCTTGCCGAAGTGCCATCTCAGCTGGTGACATACTTCAAAATGAGAAATCTGCCTCCTGTCAACCCACCTGCACCGACAAAATAGACACAGGCTTGCTCTGAAGAGTGAATCATATGCATCTATAATGCATAGAAGTTTGAGTAAGTATGGATCACCACTAGAGGGAACCACAGCTCCATGGAAGAACTTGTAGAAAGACCACTTATCTTAATTTCCCTTTTTTTATATATTATGCAATCATTTTATTTTCATATATATTTCTTTAATCTTCCAGAATGAACATTATTCCTTATTATTCTATTCCAACTGGAAAAGAGTTTCTTTTTTTACAGAGCTATTTTTCTGTGAAGTTGCATATATTATATACATATGTGATGCTATAGTTTACGCACACAGATGCCTTGATTTGCTTTAGCCAATATTTGAAATCACTTTGTTGGCCTTGCCTTGCTTTTGGCACACACATATGCAAAATCTCAATCAGGAATGCTGGTTTATGTAATTCTCCGCACTTTCTGCTGTATAATAGTTGTCAAAGCAAAGTGAATGATACTCATTTACCATCTGCGCTAAAATAAATAATCATGCTGCCCTTATAGAGATGATTAGTAGCTAGAGACATACCAAAGAAATCACTGCATGCCTTTCACTAGCAAATTAGAGCTTTCAGAATCTTTTAGTAGAATTATATTGCCAATATGAATGTCGTTTTGACCAAGATATATAACATTCATATACTACTTAATATATAAAGTATGAACAATGGCTGAGTTAAATAGAATTTAAAATGCTATTTTACTTTTACAAAGCATTATGTTGATCATAGAAATGCCTTATCAGATATGTTTTTCTAAACAGCTGTTGTTATGTTGAGGATCTAGAAGTTTTACAGTTTCCTTTGTGCCAAGAAGAATCTTTTAAAGATTTGTTTTGAGAGCCAGAAATTATGTTGTTCATTTGATTCCTCTAACACAAATCTTTGCACCTTAATCGCACAGCAAACTCAATCTGCATATGTATGTATGCTCGCACTTGCCATGTAAAGCCTTATGGGACCATTAGCCTGATTAAAGCTTCTTTTTTTAATGTAGTGATTTAAAGGGAATGGGTTCTTAATCCTGTTATGAGCAGCCATTGGTTTTTCCTAATGATGAAATCTAATGTTTACACTGCAACATGTTCAGTTCTTCAGAAGCCGTTGTAGCTATTACACTGCTTTTTATAACTGTCTAAAAAGAAATAAAGACATTGCCTTATTAACACACATTACATTCTTGTTTGTGTGCTTTTTTACACTGAATGTGTGGTTTTTCATGTGATTTGCCCACATACAATAGTTTTTTTTGTTATTGGTTAAATCAGTGTATCCAATACCCACTTGTATGAATTAGTTAAATCAATGTACCCAATACCCGCTGGCTCTTTAGGTGGTCAAAGTTTTTGTTCAACCTAGAAAGGAAACTTGTGTCATTATTTACTTGCCCTTATAAGAACTGAATTTGTGTTTGGTTGAGAAATTAATGTTTGGTTAAATTTAAAATTCTGATCTTCTGTGTTTTCTCCAAAAACCTTAAAATGTTCCTAAAGAAAGAAAGAATTTCCATCTGAAGTGGTTTAATCCAAGTCTTGAGAAGAGGCACTATTACTTTATATGTCAAACCGATTTAATTTAAACTTGTATTCACATATAAACATTGAGCAATATTTGCGTCTTCTTTGTCAAATAAGCTCCAGTAAGTTTTATGCATTTTCTTGATGCGCGAAAACTAATGAAGTTCTTTCTTGCCTGGCACGACAGATTAATTTAATTTGACGTACAATAGAACTACAGGCCCAGGGTTCATGTGGTTTGAAAGACCTACCACCCACTGACAAAGTCCAGAATTTGGCACCTATATGAACTCATTTGTCCCATTTTTGACAGTACGTCATCATAAATAGTGAAAAAAAAAATGATAGAAGAAGGCTTTAAGACTGTTGTGCTGGGGTGCGCTCCCCTAACATAAAATGCACCCTCTCTGAAATGTGCATCTATCTACTGAAATTGATTAAAAAAAAAAACTATGACACTTATGAGAGTGGGGACTGAGCTGAGTTTCATGAATGGAACCTTTCCCTTACAGAAGATAAATAAATAGATAGAATGACTTTAAATACAATGTGGATGAGATGAAGTAAATTGTTTAATGTGTGGTTTAGTATAAAACGGCAACAACAATTTTATGTGTTCCATGACTGTTTAAAATCAATCAAAAAGCAAAAATTTAAGCTACACAGTCATTATTAATATTTTACATTTATTAGTTAATCTATAGAGCGTTTTAAAATGCATTTCACTTTTTGTCTTTATCAGTCAAAATAATAATCTTTTCACATTTAAATCAATTTTGCCCTTGATTAAAAAAAAAAAAAATGTATGAGTCCTATGAGGGGGTTCATTTTGCAGCAAGGGTGCGTTTTATTTTTTTTATGTTCAAATGGACAGATTCTGAAGGAAATGAGCTGACCAGTTAGTAATTTCCCCTTAGGTGACAGTTTTTTTTTTTTTTTTTAAAGTATAAACAGAATTCTAATATTATTTAGTTTTTTTTTTAAAAAACGTATAATAAATTTGTATTTTAAAAATATTTCATATTTTATTGTTCAAAATGTCAAATTTGAATTTCTAATCTCATAGCAATTTTTTATAAAATTTGTTTAAATGCACATTTGTAAATTAGCACTTTGGTAAAATAGTATGGTAAGCATTTTCACAGAATTGTAGGAAATATTTTTGTTGCATCAAAGTGTGGTTATTTCTGACAAGATTAGTACTTAAAATGTCACTAAAATGCAGTATTTAAACCTCAATTTAATAAAGAATGAAGCAAATAACTGCAAAAAAGATCAACTTTTTTTTTTTTTTAATAAAAAGAACCAACCCTTTCATTACGGTTTTCATTACTTAAAAATACAAATTCTGTATTCAAATTTTTGTATAATGAGTATCTTCACAATATTTGTGGTAAATATTATTTGTGTTTGGAGCTCACAAGTTATGAGAGCGAGTGAACGATGGCAGAATTTTCATTTTGTGGTGAACTAACCCTTAAAATGCTAATCTGAGGCGAGCCGGTTCCCTATATTCTCAAATTACGCCATTGCTTGACTGACAATTCATTTGCTAACTGTTAAATTATCATAGGTAAATATGTCGTCTGGGGAGTTTCCTTCAGATGAGATTCCTGCACAGTTTCTCGAGATGCAGGATCGTGTGCTTTAACAGTGTATTGGAAGGCCTCGTGTGGTTTGGATATTTGAAAGCAGGTTAACGTTGAGGTTTGTCGTTCTGTCAGTTATTTCATGTAAGAGGTGAGCACTGAGCATCGTATTTGCAACTTACAACAATGAGAACCAGATTCATCCAAAGATAAAACACCTGCTCAGGAGGATTACAAGACACAGAAACACCGCATCTCTCAAACATGTCCATCACTGTGCTGTTAAAGAAGATATTCAATCTACCCGGGAAATATGACAGGAAAGTGGAATTGTCTTTTAGAGGTAAGTAATAAGCATGTGATATATGAATAATAACCGTGGGTCAAAGTCAGAAATGGGTTACATGAATCCAAACAAAAACTAACAAATTATGATTATCTTTTTAATCTGTGGGTATTGTAACTGTAATAGTAATCTGTTTACTATTAGCCATTCACTAAAATGTTCAGTGTAACAATAGTTCACTTACTAATAAATATTGTCTTATAGCCTATATTTAAATTAGATAAAAATCGTTTAATTATATATTAAAGACTCCATTTAAAATGATAGTTCCCCTAAAATGTAAATTTGCTCACCTTAAAGTGGATTTTTCTTCTGTTTAACACAAAATACGATATAAGAAAAAGCTGAAAACCTGTAACCGCCATTAACTTCCATAGTGGGAAAAGCAAATACTATGGAAGCCAACGGTAACAGGTTTCCAGCTTTAGAAGATAGAAACTCGGTAAGGTTTAAAATGGTAAGTAAATGATGACCGAATTTAGATTTTTGGGTGAACTATCTCAGGATCACAGTGCAGCGACAATAATTGTAAATTTTAATTTATTTTTTTAAAAATTTGCCACTTTTCTTTGTCTTACATTAAGTACTTCAAATATATATAAAAAATATTATGATCCTATGTTCATTTATATTTGTGAAAAGTACACTGGTCAGAATAATTATGTTTCATGTTTATATGAATATGTACCACTTTGCAATAGGGTTATATTACTTACTGAATGTACTAAAGAATGAATGATGCAATTACTATATTTAATTAATCTTTATTAACATTATTTAATTAAGGAAGTCATTCATTGTTAGTTCATGTTAACTCAGTGCATTGATGTTAACTAGCAAATTGGATTTTAATAATGCATTAGTAAATGTTTAACTATGATTAATAAATACTGTACAAGTATTGTTTACATTAGTAAATAGAACTAATGGGAACTTTTTGTAAAGTGTGACCAATACAGTGCTCAGGATAAAGGAGTACACCGCTCACAGATCTCTCTTTATTTATTTTTATTTTCTATAGGATACTTTACATGAATTTATTAGTGCATACACATTAGATTAGTCAGTACCAAAGCCAAATCTGGATCTATGATCCAACAAAATAATATAAGATGTTGGGGGGACATATTAAATAAACATTTAATAAACAGGAAAAGTGAAGAGAAACAAAAAAATACATTGTTTAAATTTTTTAGTATATATATATATATATATATATATATAATATATATATACTATATTTATACATATACTACAAATTTAATTGAATATTATTATACATTTCTTTTTATTTTATAGTATAGTAACATTTTTAATTTCTATAAATTTTAGTTTTGTTATATAAGAAACAATATGAAATATATATGTAGGAATTCACTTTCTTGAATGCCATATTAACTGCTAAATATGTTTGTTGTTGTTGTTGTTTTACTGTGTTTACAGGTTTTACTCACAAAACCAAGATTCTTCAGTGTGAGAATATAGCCATCTTCAATGAGGTAACTTGTACTATAGTGTGTTGTACTGTAGTTCATTTCACCACGGACTGTTTGCAAATGTATGTAATTATCACTACGGAATGGCTACAAAAAAACTCTACAAGTCATTTTAGCTCACATTAAAATGACTTTCAAACAAATTTAAACTTGTTCAATTAAAAAAAAAGAAAATGAACATTTCAATAACTTTACATATAACATTGATAACATTGATCCTGAACTACACGATCAAAAAAAAAAAAAAGATTATTTATATACAGTTAAAGCCAGAATTATTAGCCCCCTGCATATTTTTTTCACCCAATTTCTGTTTAATGGAAATATTTTTTCAACACATTTAAACATAATAGTTTTAATAACTGATTTCTTGTATCTCTGCCAAGAGGACAGTACATCATATTTTAATAAATATTTTTCATTCATTCACTTATTCGTTCATTAATTTTCTTGTTGGCTTAGTTCCATTATTAATCTGGGGTCGCCACATCAGAATGAACCGCCAACTTATCCAGCAAGTTTTTACGCAGCGGATGCCCTTCCAGCCGCAACCCATCTCTGGAAAACATCCACAAACACTCATACACTACAGACAATTTAGCTTACCCAATTCACCTGTTCAGCATGTCTTTGGACTGTAGGGGAAATCGGAGCACCCGGAGAAAACCCACGCGAACACAGGGAGAACATGCAAACTCCACACAGAAACAACCACAGAGAGTCCAGACGTCAGTTTAACGTTTAATCCGAAAGGTAGCGCTTACTGAGCAGTATAGAGTTCCCTTTACTATTCTGGGGCATTAGGACCCATACAGACCACAGGTTGGGCGCCCCCTGCTAGCCTCACTAACACCACTTCACGCAGCAACCTAGCTTTCCCATGTGGCCCCCATCCAGTTACTGACCGCGCACAGCCCTGCTTAGCTTCAGTGGGTGACCATGTGAGAGGTTCAGAGAGCTAGCTGCCAGCAAATGTACAGGAGGGTGAATCATTTTGACTTTTAACTGTGTATATATATATACAGTTGAAATCAGAATTATTAAACTCCTTTTGATTTTTTAAAAAACTTTTTAAAATCTTTCCCAAATTATGTTTAACAGACCAAGGACATTTTCACAGTATGTCTGATGATATTTTTTCTTCTGGAGAAAGTAAAAAAAAAAAATTTAAAACCATTTTAAGGTCAAAATTATTATCCCCTTTAAGCTATATATTTTTTTCGTTTGTCTACAGAACAAACCATGGTTATACAATAGCTTAATAATAATTACCCTATCCTGCCTAGTTAGCCTAATTAACCCAGTTAAGCCTTTAAATGTCACTTTAAGCTGTATAGAAGTATCTTGAAAAATATCTAGTCAAATATTATTTACAGTCATCATGGCAAAGATAAAATAAATCAGTTATTAGAGATGAGTTATTACAACTATTATGTTTATAAATGTGTTGAAAATATACATAAACATACATAGTCAATATTTGAAGTGGATCAACGAGACGAGAACGGGTGTTGTTTAATAGTTCGATGTTCAACCTTTGATGAAAGATGATGTTTCACTTCAAACGTTGACTACTGTATATCTGTTACAGTTTTCATATATTTTAAAATATTATTTATGTTTTAAATAAGATTATTGTTCACCCATTACTTTAATCCGCAGTGAAAAGAATATATAAAGGAACATCATTTATTTATTTTTTTAAACATGTAACAATATTTATGTCTCTATTGCAAATTTGAGATCTGAGTGTACCCTTGATCGAAAAAAGTGTTCATTTCTAAAGAATTTCTTTGGACCGACCCTAAAATCATAAATGGTATATTTCCCCAGTGCAGCATTAATTTAGTACAGAGCAGGTGCCTCAACAGCCTTTCAGGAAATGTTATATTTTCTAAATACTTTGCAAAATGTTGGGAGAAAAGCTGAAAGCAAAAACGCAGTTGCCCATTGCTATACATAGTAAAGCTGAAATCAGTGTTTGTGAATGTTGTGAGGAGATCTTCATGCTATCCCCACCTTCAGGCTAGTCACCAGTGCCAGATCTTGAACATTCCTCAAGACTTGTAAACAACCACTTCTATGAGCTCAGATACAGTAATGAAAATAAAATATTTGACTAGTGGTCTGTCACGAGGTTATCCTTTAACTTAAGCTAACAGATATTATAATGATGGGAAGGACATGAAAGAAAAGCCGCTCATTCTGAGTGACGATAAATCAGCGCTGGCTTTATGAAGAGGAAGTCTTTTGAGCTTTTCCTTTATGAAGAAATGCATAGAACATAAAGAAGGGAAAGACTTAACACACAGATGAATACAGGGCCAAAAATGAACTCAAGCAGCATCAAATGCGAGTAAAAATCTGGTTTTGTTGTGTATATAAAATGATGTTCTTCATCAGCAGGCTTTTTTAGCAGTTTGTGCTTTTTTCTATTTTTTAGTATGTGAGTTTTATCGTGTCAATATAAAATCGCAAAAACTGTGATGTTATCTCGTAAACACATAACCAGTTGTGCAGGATCGTGATCTATTGACGTGAGCAGCTTATTAAAATTGTGCTTTCTGTGGCTCTGTTTGCAGTAAATCATCCACACTAAATACACAAAGAAAGATCGCTGTTGGACTCACTTACAAGTTATAACGTGGTTTTGAAAACTATTAATGTGTAAGTTACTTTGAAAGGATGATATATAAATCTGTTCTTTTGTGGTTTCCTGCTAAAATAAAAGTAACAACATTACAAATGATACAAACAAAACATGTATTTTGTAATTTTACTGTTATAATAATAATAATAATAATAATAATAATAATAATTTCATTTGATTTATTTTAAACAAAAAAATACACTTAACTAAATAAAGTGCTCAGCATAATTGAGTACACCCCATTTTGAAAATAAATATTTTTATGCATTTCTCAGTGAATATAGGCGATGTATTTTGGTGCATTTAAACAAAACAAATTTATTAAACAGATATATTTATTAAAATAATATTTTAGTCAACAAATGTTTAGAATTTGAAAGATAATCCAATTAAATTCAAACCAAATATTGCAAAAATAACAAATTACAACCTACAAAATTTAAACTAAATTTTCAAATTGTTTGCTTCCCTTGATTTTTCCTATTTTTTTAAATTTGTATTTAATATTTTTCTATAACATATAATTTGGGCGTACTCGTTTTTGGACTGTTATCGTAAGTTATTTTGTTAGATAAGCTCCAGATTTGACTTAAGTACTGACTAATGTAATGTATATGCACAAATATAACATTGTATAGCTTCCTATTAAAAATATGAATTTAAGATTTATGTGAGGAGTGTACTTATATATGCAAGCACTGTACATCAATCGTCTATGACTTTTTTACTCATCTCTTCTTTTTACATGAGTCCTCTTTCATCCTTTTGGCATCTTTTACATATTATATGGTTAATTCATCATCTCTTTTTAACACAGATCCAAAACATGCATGATACTGCAAACAGCCATCAACTGAAATTTTCTCATACCTTTCTCATTTTGTTCTTTTTTACAATCACATCTATCCATCAACATATTCCATTAATAATATATTTCATTACATTTAATACATTTTTGCAGTCACCTCTGTTAATCAATGCATTTCTATAATAGTATATTCTTACACAACATTTTAAATTGATTACTATCCTGACATAAAAATAGTAATACTATTTATTATAATAAATAGTAATTTTTAGATACTATAAAAATATTAATTATTTTATATATTGATACAAAAGGGGTATAAATATTTCCCAAGTGCTGTTTAACATAGAAGTTTTAAACATAAAAAACTATTAATAATGTCAATAACTACATTTTGAATAGCTAAATTCTTTTGTTTTTGTCATAATGACAGGACACAAAATGTAGCTAGTTATGTTGCAAGATACTAGTATTCAGCTTAAAGTGGGGTTTCAAGGCTTAACTAGGTTAATTAAGTTAACTAGAAATGTTAGGTTAATTAGGCAAGCTTGTTCTGTAGACAATCGAGAAAAAAAAACTTTTAATAATATTGACCTTAGCAGTTTAATATGTATTTTATTTTGTTCCAGACAAGCAAAAAAAAATAGTTCTATGATAATTTATACATAATTCAGAAATTCTGTGAAATGTATTTTGTATTTTTGTGTTAAAAACCACTTATTAATATTTGAAAAAGAATTAAAGAATAAAAATTTCACAGGAGGGCTAATTATATTGTCTTAAACTGTATGGTGCAAAAGTTTTTTTTTTATTACTAATGAAACAAACAAAATAAATTACAAATACTTTATTGGCCATGAGTGTGTGTATCTTAAATCAAATAGATTACATTTAAATTACTTTACATCACAAATATGATACATTATTAATAAGCAAATAAATACTGTATACATAAAATATTTCAGATTGTTTTGACAGGAAAGCAATATGCCACAGTTCCTTCTTTCATCGAATGAATAAAGGAATGAAGGAAGGAATGGAAAAGCGAATGAACGAGTGAACGAGCGAATAAACAAATGAATTTCTTTTTGTGTAGCATTTCAGATGGCCTCACTATGGGAAGGTGGAGAGGGATGAAGTTCTGTCCATCAGTGTATTCAACTGCAGTAAGATGTTCAGCAACAGGTCAGAGCATGAATCAGCCCTTACACTGAAAATATCCATTCTAGATTTTACAGCAGAAGGGAAATGAGAAGATTGAAAGACTCATAACGTGTAACACATGTTGTTCAATGTATAGATTAAATCAGAGTGCTGTATGTATGTGTGTGTGTTCAGACTGCTGGGGAAGCTGGTGATCAGCCTGCAGCATGTGGTTTCTGTGGGTCAGCTGATCCTCCGAGAGCCTCTAACAGACGCTCAGCACAGTCTGACTGATGTGAGTGACTCCTGACGCATATGGAGGTCCAGGAGGGCCAGTTAATGAATGAATAATTTAAGATTAAATTTAACAATATAAAAAATGTAAGATAAAAAAAATAAAAGAATCATATTATGTATTTAATTGAAACATAAAAATGTATGAATAAAAAAAATAAAATAAACACATTTCTTCAAGACACTACAGGAAATATTCATGTTTTTTTTTAGACTTTTCATTAAATGATTTTCAGTCTAATGTTTTGTGTCTGTACTCTTCGGTAACAATACCTATCTTAAAATTATTTTTAAAATATGTTTAGAATTATGGAGTGATTAAAAACAGACAATCAATATTCATTCTTTATAAACAAATACATCAATCAATCAATCAATCAATCAATCAATCAATCAATCAAACTACAACCAAAGTTGGCTAACGTGCTTTACAACTGTAAAACATTAAAAACATAAAAAATAAATAATTGCATAATCAATACAAGAATGTCAGTAAAGATTTATTCGGAAATAAATGTTACTGTGTTACCATTATTGCTATAATAATAGTAATTAAAGGGTAATATAAATGAAGAAAGTAATTATTACTGTTACCATCACAAAGTGTTGTTATTAGATAAAAAATACCTCGTTTACATTTTTATCTAACATTTTTAGAGAACTTGTATTACAAAATGTTGTTTTACCTGTATTCCTCTGCAGTGACTTCCTTAAATACAGCTGCTGATATTGTATGAGTGCGTGTTGCTCTTGTGCTGCAGATGTACATTGAGCTGGAGGTGAAGTACAGTCCTCTTCAGGGAGCAGCAGGAGGCTGGGACAGTCAAGACTTCATCAGAGAAGAGGACAGCGATGGGTTAGCAACAAACTACACATTCCAATCTATTCATCTAGTCATTGTTTTTTTTTCTGTATTTCTCTGTTTTGTCCCTCTTTTCATCTTACTTCGTGTAACATTTTTACTTTCCAATATAGGCAAGTCTTTCCTTCCATCTGTTCAAATGCTTTCCTTTTTTCCTCTCTTTTCCATCCATTCTTCCACCCACCTAATCTCTTTTTCCAATCAATCAATCAATCAATCAATCAATCAATCAATCAATCAATCAATCAATCAATCAATCAATCAATCAATCAATCAATCAATCAATCAATCAATCAATCAATCAATCAATCAACCAATCAATCAATCAATCAATCAATCAATCAATTAATCAATCAATCAATCAATCAATCAACTTTGCCTCCAATAGTTCATCCCTCCTTGGCTCCTTCCATTTATCCTTCTTTTCTTTTTTCTTTTAATGTATTATTACTTCTTACCTTTTTTCATGGTTTGTCAATTCATTTCATTTTCTCTTTTCTTTCACCACTTCCTTTTATTTCTATTAATTCATTACTTAATTTCTACCATTTTTCTTTATTCTAATTTTCTTAATTAGCATCCATCCATCCATCCATCCATCCATCCGTTTATCTGACAGCTCACCTACACTTTTACCTCTTAATCCTCTATTTCCTTCCTTGTTGCTTGCTTCTTTCCTTCTTTCAATCTTTCCTTCATTTCATCCTTTCATTTCATCCTTTTAAAAGGGCAGATTTTTCTTGTAAGAAGGAAAAAAATCCATTGATCATTCTTGAGAAGTTTCAGCAGCTTAATTGAAGTTCACCTGTGGTAAATTCAGTTTATTGGACATGATTTGAAAAGGCATACACCTGTCTATAGAACGTCCCAGGGTTGACAGTGCATGTCAAAGCACAAACCAAACATGAAGACAAAGAATTGTCAGTAGACCTCCGAGACAGGATTGTCTCAGGGCACAAGGCATGGGGAAGGTTACAGAAAAATTTCTGCTGCTTTGAACGTTCCAATGAGCACAGTGGCCTCCATCATCCGTAAATGGAAGATGTTTGGAACCACTAGGACTCTTCTTAGAGCTGACCGGCCATCTAAGCTGAGTGATCGGGGGAGAAGGGCCTTAGTCAAGGAGGTGATCAATAACCTGATGGTGACTCTGTCTGAGCTCCAGCGTTCTTCTGTGGAGAAAGGAGAACCTTACAGAAGGACAACCGTCTGTGCAGCAATCCTTCAATCAGGCCTGTATGGTAGAGTGGCCAGACGGAAGCCACTCCCCACCTGGAATTTGCCAAAAGGCATCTGAAGGACTCTCAGACCATAAGAAACAAAATTCTCTAGTCTGATGAGACTAAAATTGAACTACTTTTAGTGAATGCCAGGTGTTACGTTTGGAGAAAACCAGACACCGCTCATCACAGTGCTAATACCATACCCACAGTGAAGCATGGTGGTGACAGCATCATGCTTTGGGGATGTTTTTCGGCAGCAGGAAATGGAAGACTAGTCAGGATAGAGGGAAAAATAAATGCAGCAATGTACAGAGACATCCTGAATGAAAACCTGCATCAACAAACTATTGTTCACAAAGGCTGTGAATACTTATGTACATGTGATTTTTCAGGTTTTTTTATTTTTAATAAATTTACAAAAATAAAAAAAAATCTGTTTTGACATTGTCGTTATGGGGTATTGTGTGTAGAATTCTGAGCAAATAGATGAATTTAATCCATTTTGGAATAAGGCTGGAACAAAACTATGTGGAAAAAGTGAAGCGCTACGAATACTTTAATATTGTCACAGTAATCTTAAATTCAGGCGACGCAGTAAAGCAGTAAGTAGTACTGTCACCTCACAGCAAGAAGGTTGCTGGTTCAAGCCTCTACTGGGCCAGTTGGCGTTTCTGTGTGGAGTTTGCATGTTCTCCCTGCGTTCTCCCTGGTTTCCCCCGGGTGCTCCACTTTTCCCCACAGTCCGAAGACATGTGGTACAGGTGAATTGGGTAGGCTAAATTGTCTGTAGTGTATGAGTGTGTATGGATGTTGCCCAGAGATGGGTTGCAGCTGGAAGGGCATCCGCTGCATAAAACATGTGCTGGATAAGTTGCCGGTTCTTTCCGCTGTGGCGACCCCGGATTAATAAACGGACTAAGCCGAATTGAAAATGAATGAATGAATAATCTTCAATTCATCCCTTCTCCTATCTTTTCCTTTCCATCCATTTCATAACTAACTGAAAATTCATTTGTAATTTTATGTTTTCTCTATTCTGTTGCAGCTCTGAGCTTGTCATTAGAAACACCGGCTTCACAGAACCGAGGCAGGACATCTCCAGCACATTCCATTTATATACACTATCATATCTTTTATTCAGTGCATTCAGATTGATTTTCTTTAAATAATTCACAGCTCTTCAGACGGTCTGCGTCCTCAGCAGCTGGATCGTGAAACCAGGATGATCGGTCGCGGACTTTTGAAAACCGAGGACGAGAACGGAGATGAAGACGATGATAATGACTATGATGATGATTATGACTTTGCAGATATGGAATGTGCCAATGTGACATTCACTCCCATTTTGAGGTGCCTTTCAATTCAGTGTAAAACATTCCTCTAAATGACATAAACCGTTATACTATTGAATTTCAGTGAAATACAATGAATCACACATTGCAGAACTCAATCTCCCATTATATTTTAATATCTAGATAGACGAATATACCTTATATTCTTATATTTGAAACCTAATAAGAATGTTCGGTCACACTTTATTTTAATGTGTAATTCACACTATTAACAAACAATTAACTAAGATTTTTAGCTCAATAAACTACTAATTAATAGTTAGTAATGTAGTTGTTGGGTTTAGGTATTCTATACAATTGAATTCAAAATTATTAGCCCCCTTTTATTTTTATTTATTTTTTTATATTTCCCAAATGATGTTTAACAGAGCAAGGAAATTTTCACAGTATGTCTGATAATTTTTTTTCTTCTAGAGAAAGTCTTATTTGTTTTATTTCGGCTACAATAAAAGAAGTTGTTATTTTTTTATGAACCATTTTAATGGTCAAAATTATTAGCCCCTTCAAATGGATTTCCCCCTCGACTGTCTTCAGAACAAACAATCCTTATACAATAACTTGCCTAATTACCCTAACCTGCCAAGTTAATCTAATTAACCTAGATAAGCCTTTAAAAGTCACTTTAAGCTGTATTGAAGTGTCTTGAAAAATATCTAGTAAAATATTTACTGTCATCATGGCAAAGATAAAGTAAATCAGTTATTAGAAATGAGTTATTTAAACTATTATGATTAGAAATGTGTTGAAAAAAATATTCTTTCCTGTAAACAGAAATTGGGGAAAAATAAACAAGGGGGGGCTAATGATTCAGGAGGCTACTAATTCTCACTTCAACTGTACTTTACAAGTAATAAGCCAATAGTAAAAAGTGTGAATTGTTATTTAAACTAAAGTGTTAGTAAATGTTTCACAAGTAATACTGTAAAACTTATGTCTGTTTGTGTGTGTAGTCGTTGCAGGGCTCTAGCAAAACATGAGCTTGCTATCACACCTAAAGTGAAGTCTTTCCAGGTAAAACAATTTGATGAGGGAAACCTACTTACTATAGACATAGAGTTTTGTAATTGTTATTTTTATAGCTGACTCTGTTTGATGGGAATTTAAAGAATCTTCTATTTCACTCTTTATTTTCTTCCCCTCAGGTGAATGTAAATGTGATTGAAGCTCAGAAACTGGTTGGGGTGAACATCAACCCAGCAGTGTACGTGACTGTTGGAGACGAGAAAAAGCACACAGCTACTCAGAAATCTACCAACTGTCCATTTTACAATGAGGTAACCGATTACAAAGATTTCTAATTTAAGAATCTAAAACTTAGATTAAGCTTCTCTCTGATTGTTTGTCTCTTTGTTTTGGTCCTCAAGAATTTCATGTTTGAATTCCAAGAAACACAGGATGTCCTCTTTGATAAAGTGATTGAGATTTCTGTAAGTATTTGCCGAGACAAATTAAACAGTCAAACATTGTGTGAAAAGGATTTAATAAAACTCCCCTTTATGTTAAATGCCACTGACTGCTCTGTTGTTTAATCCTTTGATACAGTGCACTTATTGTGAGATTCATGTATTTAGATTGTACTTCCTACTCTCAAAAAAAGACATTTGGTGTTTGTTTAAAGAGCCCATATTATGGGTTTTTGAAAATTCCCCTCCATGTAGTGTGTAACTCAGCTCTAAGTGAAGTGAAGTATCCAGCTAAGGCTTAAATCTGTAAGAATACAGTGTTTAAAACGGTTGATTCATCTATAAAAGAGTCGACTCATAGTGCTTCAAACGAGTCGCCTTGATACCGACTCATTAGGTGTTTCGCCATGACGTACGAACGAAACCAAGTTATTCACGTGCACGCGCAAACCCGGGAGATTTCAAACCTGAGGCCCCGCCCTCTGACGCAGAAACCCAGACACACACACACACCCACAAACACACGCACACCCACAAACACACGCACACAAACATGCCGGTCGATTGAAGTAACACTGCAGATGGACATTATATTGAGTCTCTACCCAAAGATGAAACATCAGCATTATAACCAAGCAGTTGGAAACTTCTGGAAACTACATGCTACAAAGAATACTTCATCTGAGTTTGTTAAAGGAAGGATCAGTAAAGAGTAACTGATGGACGTCAGGATGGGTTTCTTCCATTTCTCAAGTGTAAGTACGTGCGGTTAAAGTTGTTGCCTCGTTTACTCTAGCTTGCAAATGTATTTAGTTGTGATTTGTTACTTGTAACCGCGTGTACTGTATCAGGTTAACTGGCTATATTCTCTTATCGCGTGCAAAGTCACGTTAAAAACGCGACGCGTGCTGTTTGTTTATGGAGCTCCGTGCTAGAGTTCTGCTCCCGCGATTTATTCGAAAATTTATTCCCGCGCCGCAGAAATCTGGCGCGGGGACAGCCGCGGGAATAAATTTCCGAATAAATCACGGGAGCGGTCGGTAACGGGTTTAATTTGGGACGGGAGCGGGCTGTCTAGCAATATCACGGATATTGCTATGCGAATTAGAAAGAGAGAGTCTGCGTGGTGCTTGTGTGTGTGTGTGTTAGTGCGCACGCGCGCGTATGAGAGAGCGAGAGAGAGAGAGAGAGAGAGCGAACGAACGAACGAACGAGCTTTGTGTGCTTTGTGCTGTGTGTTTATACAGACAGCTTGGCTGTCTGGACTGTATAGCTGGGTGATTTTTGGTTGTGTTCTCCGCTCTAGCGGGACCGGGCGCGGCGGGCAGAAAACGGAGCGGGTTCTCAGGCTAAAACCTGGCGGGTGCGGGCGGAAGCGGGAGCGTTGTCATCCGGAGGTGTGTGTGTGTTTTTGTGTGTGTTTGGTATGGCGAGTACACGACTGTCTCCTTCGTTCGGTTATCCGTGGCACTATCCACTCGCCATAGTGTGGCAGCTAAAATCCACGTCTACACTATCGAGCGTGTATGAACTGTGATTACTTTTTAAATTGCTGATTCGCTATTGGCCATTTCCCTCTCTGACTGAAGGCAGTCGACTAATCGCGACAGACTTTCATCGGTCCAATCAGCGCAGATTAGCTCCGCGCTAAGGAGGGGTTTGGGAACAAATGAATCACTGGACGATTCATACAGGAGTCGCTGGGATAATTAGGTAAAAATAAATGCAGATTATAAGACCATGAAAGTGTTTTTTGACCTTGCATGCATATTAGACTGTTGTTGGAGACCCTTACAACCAGGATATGACCCTATTTCATGTATAATATGGGCTCTTTAAACTACTTATTTCAATTGAGCTGAAACAACACATTATTGAGTTTTTGGAGGGACAGCTTAATTGTTTTATGACCAATCTACTTAAATTTGTAAAAAAAAATTATAAGTTAACTTATTTCCCTCATGTTGTTCTAAGACAAATCGATTGTGTGGAACCCAACATTTTTTTACAGTGTATTTTTTAACAATATTACATTTTTAAACTTTTTGTTTTTTAAAGAAAAAAAATATTTACATACAGTACAACAGTAAACATTACAGTTTTCTTTTTACTATTTTTGTTTTAACCAAAGCCCCACCCCCAAGACCTGAACATGCCAGGGCAGCTTAACACAATAATTAGGGTCAAATATAAAAATTACATAGTCTGAAGTCATATGTTGTAACAACAGTGGTGATGAAAAAAATTAAATAAAATAAGTGGGCCCCAATAGCCTAGTGGTTAAGTGCGCTGACAAATAGCACCATGGTGCTCACGATGACCTGGGTTCAAATCCTGGCTTGAGGTCCTACGCCAATCCCTTCTCTCTCTCTGCTCCCCATGCTTTCCTATCACGCCCCAAGTCTGGAGGAAGACAACATGGGCATAATAAACAGAAAAACAAATGTGTTGGGGTGGTGGATTTCCCAAACAATATAAAAACCTAAGGCAAAAGATCCCCTTCGGTCAACAACCAAACTCGGACACTCCATTGAGAGTAATTGAATAGGTTTTTTATAGAAAAAAGTAGAGTTTTAAATGAGCTTTTCTTCAGGGTGCCCACATGCAACAAGAAAACAAGAATCTGCAAAGTAAATGAACTAAATTACCTAAAAATATTTAAAGAAAAATACTGGAAGCTTACCTTTCTCCCTAAACAAAATAACATGGTCAAATGTAATCAAATAAATAGGCAGGCCACCCCTACAAGCTCAAACTCTCAAAAGAAGTTGAACGTGTGAACAATGGTACAAGACTGAACGTTCGTCGTCGGCCGGAGGGGTAAGGGAAATCCAGGAGCTCCACTCCCAGCAACCGTCCCACCACAAATGAGCTCCTCGAACTCTGCCGGAACTTCCTTTTTATATAGGCCTCCGAGACCAGCAGCCAATCAGAGCACGAATCACGCTGGAATGGGAGTCTATGGGATAACGAAAAAAACAACAACAACAAAACAACAAAAAGCAGGACAAAGAAAAAGACACATGCAATGCGCAAAAAAAAAAAAAAAAAAAAAAAAACTTTAGCCTAAGCACCTGGCTGTCCTCCATTGTCCTATCCCAATAAAAGGTGAAAAAAATGTAATTTAAAAATCAATAAAGAAAAAAACTGGGAGAAGAAAACAAGTTGCAGGACAAACTACATTAAAGACAAAACACAATGGAGCATGCACAATAAAAGATAAATGCTGTACAATGAAACATGATTACAATAAGTCTTTTTTCAGAAACTGAAACTGAAAAAATGCAGAGTTCCACACAGCTCATTCATGTTGTCCCAACACAAATCAATTAAGTTAACTTAACACTTTAAACAAATTTATTTGCTTCGAACATAAAAAAAATAAGTTGTCCCAATGAAATCTCAAGAATTGTGTTGATTCAGCTTATTTTAGTTGAACTACTTATAAATACTTAGTTATAAGTAGTTTGATCAAGCAAAAAAATATTTTTTTGAGTGTACAGTTGGTCAATATAACATGTTTTCCTTGTAGTCATTAAAAAATAGGGTTTGAATAATTTGAATTACATCAAATTATATAAAATTAGGTATTGTGTTGTCTTAAAATGAATATAAACATATGAAAACATGGCATTTTTAAATTATTTGACTGATTGTCATTTCATCCAATGGTGTATATGCACTAGAATTTTAAATTTTAAATAAGCCAGCTCAAATTCTCAGACCAGACAAGAAACACTGCATTAAATTCCAATTTAAAATATGGAAATTGGAAAAATATTTTGGAGTTTTCCTGCTGCTGCTGATTTGATTCTTTCATCTCATTTTACACCTGAACTTCTAAATGCTGAAGTCATTTGAGTGCTGAAGTCTATTTAACTGATTATACTTTAATTACATTATAACATCAATGCTGTAAAAGGAACAGTCAAATTAACTGAATAGAAAAACTGAACAGAACACATTAACAGAAGTTTATCGGTGGCTGAAAACCAACAGCTGTGCACATACACCATTGATGCTCTATATGTCTTTTTACTTGATATTTAGAAGAAATGTTGTCCGCAGAAAAAAAAAAAAATCTTTAATAATTTTTTATACAAATAATTAGTTTTCATCCCTGTTGTTATCACTAAAACAATATATGTACAAGGTATTTGTGTTCTCTTGATATCTTTCCATTCTTTTAGGTGGTTCATAAGAAAGTCCTTGCCTTTTTGATGACTCACATAGGATCCTTTAAGATTGACATCAGCACAGTATATCAGCAGCCAGGTACTGTAGCTTGATACTTATTAATATTTACCTAAACCAGCTCAGGAAACCATAAATTCTAATTGCTTTGATATACATATTACTACAAAAACACAGCCTGAGTGTTCAGTGCACTGCTAAAACAGTAATACCATTCCCTAGGCATTTTAATGGTGATAATTATCTCATCACCAGTGGAGAAAAAGAATGATTATAGGTCTACTTAGAAACAGCAGCATTGATTACAACAACTTAACTCGGCTAATATTCAATTCAATTCAATTCAGCTTTATTTGTATAGCGCTTTTACAATGTCGATTGTGTCAAAGCAGCTTCACATAAATGGTCAATATATCTCCCAGATCACCGTTTCTACCAGAAATGGGCTCCACTCACTGACCCAAAAGATACCCGCTCGGGTATTAAAGGTTATGTGAAGTGCACAGTGAGTGTGGTGATGAAAGGAGACCCCATGGGCATGGCCAGCCTGGCACCAGCTGGCAGCCAGAACGATGACATTGAAAAGTAAGAGTTTGCTTTGTTTTACATGTCAGTGTTCCTCACTGCTCTTTACTGTAACAGAAACCCCCTGTAAATTCAACATAGCACAACATTAGAGACAGATTGATGGCTCCCTGGGTTAATCTGGGTTAAAACACCCACAATAGCGTTTAATTTTAACATTTATTTTCCTTATAGTCCGATGTAGAGGATGGCAGATTAGGTTTAGCTTAATACATTAAAATTTTGAGTTAATGTAACAGTATTTCAACAATAAATATAACATTTACTCACTTTTTACTTATCATCAAGTGGTTTCAAACCTTTATAAGCTTCTTTTTTTCATTGAAAGAAAAGAAGATATTTTGAAGAATGTTGAAAACCAGTATGCCTTGACTTCCATAGTTGTTTTTCCTACTATGGAAGTAAATGGATAAGACATTTTATATCTTCTTTTGTGTTTAAAGCTCAAACAGATTTGTGACAAGTGAATGTGGAGTAAATGATGACAGAATATTCAGTTTTGGGTCAACTATTGCTTTAAGTACAATGCACTTTTGTGTGAAAGTTAATCAATTGATTTAATTTCACTGTTCTGTTTCACAGTGTTCTCGTAGACTCATTCCCCTGAAGTGAAGACATTAGTATTAAATATTTGGTTCTTAGGTTACTAGCATTGATGTGTTTGGTTTAATATACATTTTTACATGTCTTGTAGAAACCTTCTCCTTCCCAAGAGGATGCCATCCGAACGGCCCTGGGCTAAGTTTATCCTGAAGATCTACAGAGCTGAAGGTTTGCCCAGCATGAACTCTGGTTTCATGGGGAAGATAATGAGAGACAAGAAGGTCTTCCTTGATCCCTATGTTCAAGTTACATTCGCTGGCCAGCAGGTGATTATCTGTTTTTGCTCTTTATGTTAAGTTAGCTATTTTGTTTGAAATATATATATAAAGGGTAGGTTTGGCTGTGCTTTATTTTGATAGTCTCTTAGACATTCTGTTGACTGTAAAAGTAACTTCACTACTACATGTCATATAATACTAGAATTTATTCTGAACGTTTGACCTTCTGTCAAATTTTATGTCTAATTAGAGCTGTAGAATTATAATATTATTAGAGGTTATCATCATTTTATTTAGACGTAAATTTAACGGAGGGGTGGCACGGTGGCTTGGTGGTTAGCACTGTTGCCTCACAGCAAGAAGGTCGCTGGTTTAAGTCCTGGCTGTGCCAGTTGGCATTGCTGTGTGGAGTTTGCATGTTCTCCCTGTGGGAGTTTCCCAGTACTGGGTTGTAGCTGGAGGAGCATCTGTTGTGTAAAACAAATACCAGAATAGTTGTTGGTTCATTCTGCTGTGGCGACCCCTGATAAATAAGGAACTAAGCTGAAGGAAAAGGAATAAAATAATGAATGAATGAATGAATATTATTTAACAGTCAAAATTATTTTTAACTGGAGAAAAATTGTCGTAAGATCAACTTCTCATTTGTAAAACATTTTTAAAAAATTAAGTGAAATTAAAAGTTTGAAATGTTACTGTTTTTTTAGAATGGTATTTGGTTAATCCAAATTTTTTTTGTAAATTGCACATAAAGTGAACCTAAAGATGCATGTAAATGAACTAAAATGTTATTATTTTATTATTTTTTATTACCAAATACATTACTAAAGTTTTAAAACAAAATAAAAAGTTTTTACTTGTCTTAGCATTCACAATATCATGGAAAAATAAGTTTTCAAAACTTTGAACTCAGATTTTCAAATACAATTCCTAAATGTGTTTTAAATGTGAAAAGGCTAAAAAAAACATTTTTTTTATCTATATACAGTTGCAATCAGAATTATTAATCCCCCTGAATTATTTTTCCCCAATTTCTGTTTAACAGAGATAAGGCACATTTCTGAACATAATAGTTTAAATAACTAATTTCTAATTACTGATTTATTTTATCTGCCATTGACAGTAAATGATGTTTGATTAGATATTTTTCGAAACACTTCTATACAGCTTAAAGTGACATTTAAAGGTTTAATTAGACTAATTAGGTTAACTAGTCAGGTTAGGGTAATTAGGCAAGTTATCGTATAACGATGGTTTGTTCTGTAGACTATTAATAAAATAGAGCTTAAAGGGGATAATAATTTTGACCTTTAAATGGTGTTTAAAAAATGTAAAACTGCTTTCTCCAGAAGAAAAAATATTGTCAGACATACTGTGAAAATTTCCTTGCTCTGTTAAACATCATTTGGGAAATGTTTTAAAAAGAAAAAAATTCAGAGGTGGTTTAATAATTCTGATTGCAACTGTATATATCTTTTACAAATGTAGCACTAATAAACCTTTTACATAAAGTATTTTTGACATGTAAATGTACTGCTTATATACCCTGCTTTAAAATGTCCCCATCCTGAAACATTTACGTTTTTTAAAATGGTTCTTACTTGTATAAATCTAATAATTGTAAAATTTAGATTAATAAATTTATTTCATTTAATTTCATTAATTTTAAAGCACACGATAATGATCATTCCTATATTAAACACTGTCTGTCTCTATGGTCAAAGCAAACCCAAATACATTATGAGAGTTAAACAGGAAGAACCTTCTCACGATGTGTTTGCTTGTGCTCTTTCCTTGATATATGCCTAGATGGTACTATTTATACAGTCAAATGATCTAAATGAAAACGCTTCCCATGGCTTTCTTTTCCTAATATTGTTCTCCTCACTGTGTTTTCATTCTTGAATTCATTTCAGCATAACATATAACCTTGTGAAATATCATTTGGTCAAACGCCACACACTTACACACACACCCTGATGGTGGTTTGTTTGTTAAATGGGCAGAGGTGTTCAGTATTTGAACTGTTCTCGGAGTCTTGCTACACAGGGAGTTAGCAAACATTTCAGCGCTAAATAAATCATTATGATGTCAGAGCTTGTCTTATCTGAGAAAAGTTCAAGTGGAGTCAAACCTGAACCCTCTCTTCCTCATTACAGCCTAGATAGATTACAGAACTACATAGTAAAATTAACAAAAGTTTAAACTGAATGTCTTTATATGTTTGACAGGGGGAAACGTCAGTCGATAGCAACACCAATGCTCCAGAGTGGAATGAACAGATATCCTTTATTGAACAGTTTCCTCCTCTTGCTCGACGAATCAAAATCCAGATCCTTGATGATGCCAACATTGGAGATGTGGCTGTGGCAACACACTTCCTGGATCTTCTTCAGATCTCCAATCCCAACCGAAATGGTTAGTTTAAAGGTAGAACAATGAAGTTTGAAGTGAAAGTCCAGCCAAAAATGCTAATTCCTTTACTAACTCATGTTGTTTCAATCTTAGATTATTTTCTTTCTTATTTTTAACATGTAAGAAGATATTTTGAAGAATGTTGGTCAGCTAACCCTGTCAGTTTTTATTCGCCTATTTTTTTTATATATTTTTTTTCAATTGTAAGGTCAAAAACATATTTAAAGCCAATGGGAATCCAAACTGTTTGGTTAACAACATTTAAATGATGTTGGGACAGTAGTAGCAGGATTTGCAGTTTTGGTTGATCTGTCTTTTTCCATATTTGTTTCTGAATTTTTTAATTACTTATTCATAAAATGACAATTCTGTGAAAATCAATGATTCAGGATGTCCTTTAGTCAAAAAACAACTCAAAAATACATATTTTAAATGTGTTTTTGTTAAATTAATTGATAGTATAATTCTTAGACTTTTGTAGTTAATTTTTATATTATTATTGTTAATCTAATCTAATATAATTTACAATATATTAAGAAAAAATCACACATTTCATTTTTGAATGTATCAAAAAATTGGAGAGAAAACATTTTAGAATGAACTTAAAAATATTACTCCACATTTATAAGGAATAAAAACAATGTCATAAATATTTTGTCCATGCATCAAATCAATGGATGTGTTATGATAAAAACAGAAAAGAAAATGGAATGTAATCGTAATTGAATGAGGGGACAATTCCAAAATCAGCATTTAAAACAGGCAACATTTTTTTTTGTCTGTTTATTTTAACGTAAACTTATAAATGTTGCTATTTTTAACAAAGTCTAATGTAACTATTGTCTTTTTACCAATATTTAAATCAATATTATTATAGGAAAATTATAGCTTATAACTTACTATTAAATGTCTCTTGTAAATACAGAAATAATCACAGCCTATAAAACTAAAATACAGTCAAAAAAAGTTAAACTGGGTTCTCGCCTGAAACTAATGCGTTATAATTTTTTTTTAATCATTCATTCATTTTTTATTGGTTTAGTCCCTTTATTCGTCAGGGGTCACCACAGCGGAATGAACCGTCAAGTTATTCAGTATATGTTTTTCAAAGCGGATGCCCTTCTAGCTGCAACACAGTACTGGAAAAGATTTATTCACACACATACACTACGGCCAATTTAGTTTATTCAATTCGCCTATACCACATGTCTTTGAACTGTTGGGGGAAATGGAGCACTTGGGGAGCACACGAACTTGGGTAGAACATGCAAACTTTACCAACTGGCCCAGCCAGGAGTCGAAACCAGCAACCTTCTTGCTGTGAGGCGACAGTGCTAACCACTGAGCCACTGGGTTGCCCTTTAATTTTTTCTATATACTTGATACATTTTTTATTCTTGATGGCATTTTCAACTGAAAATAATCTGCAGCTGAAAATTCAATGCATCCCTAATTTTAGCATTATATTCCTTCTGGTGACCTCACGTTTTGACTCTTTACTGAACAACTTTTACTTCATTACACATTATGCAACCTTCTTCCCATTTTCTTCCCCACCTACCAGGTTTCAATCCCACCTTTGGTCCTGCTTGGGTCAATCTCTACGGCTCCCCCCAGAACTCCACTCTGAGAGACATCCACCGGGACCTTAATGAAGGTCTGAGTGACGGCATCTTCTACAGAGGTAGAATACTGCTGTCGCTCAGCGTGGAGGTTTACTTCTCACCTACGGCTGTGGTGACGGAGAGCAAGGCCATCGCTAATGTCAAGAGCACAATCAGCAGGCTTAATCTGAAACGCAGGAGCCGGAAGTCCAAGGAGAAGAAAACGGGCAGGAAAGAAGGTAGTATCATACGATTAAGGAAAAATCAGTTAATCTATCTTACAGTCTGCATGAAGTTGTAGCTGTGACCGTTTTTTTTTTTTTTTGACATATTGTGATGCAATTTTTATGGAAACGAAAAAATTAAATGCGAAAACAGTGGTCATGGTTTATTCAACTGCAAGCTGATTGGATGTAGTAAAGAAGGCATTTCATTCAGAAAGCTCGAAACCTGCTTCTCACCATTTCTGTTTGACAGTTGAAGGGGCTGAGTTAAGTATGTTAACCACGTTCAATACCTCAGACCGACATAATCTGAAAATTTTACTGAAAACAAACAGGAAGTGCATTTTCAGATTTTAATTTTAGATTACAAGGGGAAACAATCTTTTTTTCTTAATGAGATGCACAGATGAATTGTTCACCACAAAACTATCCATGTGAGCTAACAAAATCATAATTTTGATTTCATTTTTTACTTTAAAGTTGCCATGAAACAGAAGTTAAGACTGTCATTTTTTCAATATTGTGACGTACATCCAATTGAAACGGTCCTGAAATTAGAAAAAATTGTACGGGTGTTCAATATTTCATTAATTGGGAACTAATTGGATTATTGCATCAAAATGACCAGAAAAAAAGTTATTTCAAGAGTTTTGGTATTTGATAGAAGATTATAAACCTTTAAAAACATTTTTCAAAATAATGACGTACACAGATACATCATTAATTACAAGCACTACTTTGTGAATGAAAAATAAAAAGAGTAAATTTTGATTTCATGGCAACTTTACATACTGACTGTAATCATTTAAATCTGAACCCCTAGTGGTACTAAAGTATTTTTTTTTTTGTGCTCATCGATGTTTTTTAAAAGTATTGGCTCCAGAAATATATTTTCTTTACAAAGAAATTTGTTAAAAAATAGATTCATTTAAGCATTACAATCATAAATCAAACCAACTAACTATGAAATGAATCTCAGCTTTACAAACTTTGATTTAAAGCATAGAAGTACATGAAAATTGGACAAACATGTAAGGCCTAAGATAGAAATCTAAGGCTTTAGGTACTGAAAGGCCACATGATTCAGAAGTTGCTGAGACTTTTATTTCAGCATATTGATGTATTTCCAACTGAAATTGAATATTAAGTTGTTCTTTTGTGCATCATTCTCTCATAGCAAACTAACGATAAGAGGGGCATGGTTAAGAATATTGTGACTGAAGTCGTCAAGCTGACACCAATAGAGAATAACCACCACTGCATATGTAGAAGCAGATGATCAGACATTGGTTGAAGATTACCAAAACATTTTTTTCAGTGAAGTAAATTAGACAGTGGGCATCACGGTGGCGCAGTGGGTAGTATGATCGCTTCACAGCAAGAAGGTCACTGTTTTGAGCCTTGGCTGGGCCAGTTGGCATTTCTGTGTGGAGTTTACATGTTCTGCCTGTGATCGCGGGATTTTCCTCCGGGTGCTCTGGTTTCCCTCACAGGTCCAAAGACATGCTGTATAGGTAAATTGGGTAAGCTAAATTGTCCGTAGTGTATGTGTGTGAATAAGTGTGTATGGATGTTTCCCAGTGATGGGAAGAGCATTCACTGCGTAAAACAAAGGCTGGATAAGTTCAATCTGCTGTGGCGACCCCATATTAATAAAGGGACTAAGCCGACAAAAAAATCCGTGATTGAATGAAGTTAGACTGATTATGTGCGCCAGCGAAATAAACATTGTAAATTTATATTTTACACTAACTTTTTTTTATCAGTGAAAGACTGTAAATGACACAATCAAGTAAAAAAAAAAAAAATACAGGAAAAAGTTTTAAAATCGTTTATTTTTTTTTGTGGAAAAAAATAAATACAGCTTTTCCATCCACAATGTTGGACTTTATTGGCCAGGTGTAACAACATTAGCCCAGCCAGGCAACAGGGGCGGAGCTACCTGTTTGTTCGACCAATGAAGAAAGTGTGGGAATTGCATTTGACAGTAGTGAAATAACTTATAGGGCCAATCCCAATTCTATTTTTCTACCTCTACCCCTTCGCCTTGGTCATTGAAACAGAGTGCGAAGGGGAAGGGCTTCCAAATTTACTCCTAAGAAACTGGACACCACCACAACACCTGGACATGCCTTCATATGTCATTGTGATCTCTTACTTCATATGAAATCGACGATCGCGACTGCTGTAGTTATTCCAGTTTTTTGGTATTCATCTTTAGGAAATCACTGAAGGCAACAATATCATGTTATCATTGTGATATATTATGTCAATAAGCTTGTAACTGTACTGTGCATTTACACAGTGGCTATATTCATCAATGTAACAAACCAAAAACTACATTAACATTATAGCAGACACGGTAAAAAGCTCATACCCAGCCACTAGACCTTTCTGACAGGGTATTCGAGTGTGGGATTACTGTACAGGAATTACTATTAGGGATTATAGATAGCGAAATTTAGCAGTTTTAATTTTAGCGTTTTTTTAAAGCATGATGATGAAACATGAACGCTGTTATTAATGTATTAAAACATGTGCCTGTTTGTTGTAAAAATGAAAAATAATGACCAATTTGTCATTTGTGCTTCTCCTTACTTCCGTGTGCTGCCATGCTGCTGTTGTGAAACTACTATACAGGAGTTATTATTAGGGATTATAGGTAGCGAAATTTAGCGGCATTTGTTTTAGCAGGGTTTTTTAAAGCACGTTTTTTAAAATGACGGTAAAACACAAACGTCTTAATGAATGTAATAAAACATATGCTTGTTTGTTGTAAAAATTCATAATAATGACAAATAATACTACTTTGTGCAATTCTCTACTTCCGCGTGCAGCCATACTGTAGCTGTAGATAATGTATTTTGGGAAATATTCTTACCCCTTTGTTTCAAGTGTGGTCCTGAAAAATCTCAGTTTGAGGGGTATCTAGCCCTTCCACTTAGCCCTACGCCTTCAAGCTAAAGAGAATTGGGACACCCCTACCACTTCACGTGAACGTGCAAACTGAGGGGTAAGGGCAAGGGCTAAGGTGTAGAATTAGGATTGGATGATAATGTCAATAAGTAAAGTCAACTGTTTTTCACATATTGGAATTATAGATTCATATACCCCAATAAATGACAAGCGTTCTTTATTTATCAGTGCAGAGTCCCAGCGGGCCGGCAGAGGAATCTGAAGATGTCGGTGCTGAAGTACCAGCTGCCGTGACTGTGGAAGTGGAAGAAGTTCATCCTCTTCCTGAGGTCTGTGACCACTCTTGCTTGTTTAATATAATTAAATTGCCTATTTTTACCATTTTTTTGTATGTGTTTGTTTGTTTTTTGATTTTATATTGATTATCTTTTTATTGAATTTATGATAGCAACATTTAATTACTGTAACTGACAAAGTTTGGGAGGGGAAGGGAAAGGCGCCATAAAAAGGATGCTAAAATTTATAAACTAATGGTGCTGTTAAATTATTGAAGAAAATTTTAAAAAGTGAATCATAAAAAACATATAATTAAACTTTTTATACAACAGTTAGTTCTGGATTTAGAGTACACTGTAAACATTATTTTGAGTCATCTCAACTTACGTCAAGCACACTGACTGAACAATAAAGTTTTAAATGTCATAAATTCATTTAAAACATTGAAATAAAAACAAACAAATAGGAGGATCAACGAGTGAGTCGTAGAATTACTCACTTGAATCGCTTAAAACAGTGAATAGTTCCATGATGATTCACCACTATTGTGTGTGTTGTTTGAAAACTTGTGATTGATTTTCTCATTTGACTTGATTGTCTATTTCTCCTCTACATTCAGTATCACACTTGCAGTCATGCTGATGTTCGATGTTAATCACTGCTGTATCTGTTATTTCCTCTTGCAGAATTTCACTGGAGAGAAGGATGAATTTTTGTTGTTTGCTTCCTTCTTTGAAGTGACAATGATAGATCCCTCTATTGGCTCCAAACCTGTCACCTTTGAGCTCTCTATAGGTAAGACTAATCCAGTGCTATTTAGTATACTCTGTGGTCACTTTAGTGTAAATAAACTATTATTTTATATTTTCCACAATTTGAGACATTTTTGTATTTTTCTTTTTATAATTAAAGGCTTAGTTTACCCAAAAGTTCAAATTACTTTTCGCATGTTCTCCCTGTGTTTGCGTGGGTTTCTCTGAGTGCTTCCTTCCCCACAAGTCCAAAGACATGCGGTATAAGTGAATTGTGTAAGCCAAATTGTCCATAGTGTGTGTATGTGTGCGAATGAGTGTGGATGGGTTTCCCAGTGATGGGTTGCGGCTGGAATGGCATCCAATGCATAAAACAAATGCTGGATAAGTTGGCGGTTCATTCCGCTGTGGTGACCCCAGATTAATAAAGGGACTAAAAGGAAAAGAAAATGAATGAATGACTAAAATGAATAATTTCACATAAATGATGAATTGTTTGCAGTAATAAAGTAGAGGTAATAGCATGGTTAAAACATTTTAATTTAATTTAAAACATTTGATATTTACTCACAAATGAGAAGTTGCTGATCAGTCAAAATATGATTTAAGAAAAAAAAAAAACGCTATGTCTGTTTTATAAAACAATTATTATTATTGCCCAAACACACCTGGAATAAACTGTATTGATGTTTGCCAGTACTGGGTTGCAGCTGGAAGCGTATCCGCTGTGTAAAACATATGCTGGATAAGTTGGCGATTCATTCTGCTGTGGCAACCCCGGATGAGTAAAGGGACAAAATCGAAGGAACATGAATGAATAACAACAGCAACTATGTGTTCACAGGGAACTATGGTAAAACAGCAGAGGTGGTAGTGAAGTCCAGCAAGAGCGGCAGTCAGGAGAATCTGGCTGAGGACAGACAACCACTGCTGGAGTCAGATGACGAACTGGAGAGAGATGAACCTGTGAACCCTAGAGACCAGTCCATCACAGCACCCAGAAGACCTCAACCCACTGAATATGACAGGTCACATGATCATCTCAAGCTCGACTGCTAATCATTCCATGCATTGCTGTAAACAATTCTTTCTATCATTCAGATCTTTTAGTTGCATTCCCCTTTTTCGAGAGAAACCGTGCATCTTTGTGTGGAGCTACTTTGAGGATCACACTTTCAGATTCCACAACAGCAACTGGTTGTCCAAGATGGCCGACCGACTGGCAAGTCCTATTTAGCAGATATTACACTCTTCTCGTTTATGAATACAACATTTTAATATTCAGTCCCTCCAGAATTTAATGTCTTGTGATTGCAGATTTAAATGCAAAGTTTACTCTTGTGTATTGTTCAAATTTATTACCCTTTCCAACATAGGCTCATTCTGAAAACGTAGCCCCATATACATTTCTGAAGATTGCAAATGATGTAGCAAGAAGTATGTATGGCTGCATTTCTTCTTTAAATCGAATGCTACGGGATGGTATGACGTCATTCCTTTTCGCACTTACCAGCTGACCGCTTATCTTGGTATGGACTGCTTTCACGCTGGTACTAGTTTGTCCAGTAGCTTACATGTACGTCGGCAAACTTGAAACTCAGAGATGAGTTAATCATGACAACGGTGTTTGAGTCTGGCAAAGAATGGTTCCAGAAAGCAGGTAAGACAAAAACCGAAACCAAAAAATAAATAAGTAAATAAAAGGTTGAGAATGAGGTAAAATCTGAAAACGTGGTAAAAAAACAGGCAAGGGTTTTTCTTTTTCTGGATTGCTTTTTAAAACTGTCGGTTAGGTTTAGGGAAGTAGATGGATGGGTCAATCAGTGCTTTTGAAAATACATTTGGTTGGGCTTAGAGAAGGAGGAGTGTGGGTCAGTCTATTAGTCAGTTGACAGCGGCCTCTGGTGGATTTTATGCAAACAGCAGGTGCAAATGCCACTCAAGAGAGAAATTTGAGATCTGAAAAAGCATACTCAGCGGCCTCTGGTGGATTCATGAATACAAAAACTGCTAAAAATGTACCTCCTCAGATGTATTTGCAGCTCTCCAGAAATGTATATAGCGGTACGTTTTCAGAATGAGCCTGGGTTGACCTTTTGATTATGTTTGTGGCTGTTTTTACCCCATTGACTTACATTATAATGACATTTTTTGATTGGCAAGCCTGAAGGGGTAAAGGTGCCAACTGATGCTCATCAGTAAAAATTGCAAATTGTAGCTCTTCTTAACAGGGAAAACTGGTTAAATAGTGTCATGGCTTTGCAACCCAAAAATGTAATTATAATGGAAGTCAATGGGGTCAAAACAACCAGGAAAATAATGATATGGTTTACTGCCCAGGGTTTGTTGTTTAGTTTTTTTTTTTTAAATTTCAAGGCATTCCCCAAAATAAATGTCAGATATGTCACCAAAAATCATTCCATTTGCTGAAACGCAGAGAAAGTTGTGGGCAAATTAAGACTCAAAATCACCCCAGAGTGGATGAAAACATCCTGACAGCACACAAGAGCTTATCAAATACCACCAAACATTTGCTTTCACTTTGACATTTTTGGTCACACTTTGTTTTAATGTACCATTCACGCTATTAACAAACCACTAACTAAGAGTGTTAGCTCCAAAACCATTAATTAGCTGCTAATCAATAGTTAGGAAGGTAGTATTTGGGTATTGACATTAGATAGCTAGAATAAGATCATACTTCACAATTAATAATTAACAAATAATATCTTAATAATAATAGGTAATAAACCAGTAGTTAATAGTGTGAATTGCTACTAATTGCTGCTAAAGATATTTTTAGTGGCAGAAAATGGCCAAATACATCAATTTTATGTACATGACCACAAACGGTAACCAATTATAAAAATACAAAATCGAACAAAAAAGGCTCAGGGGTAGCTTAAATAATGTGTCGGTGCTCTTTGGGTAAGGGATTCATCAGAATAAACAGCAAAAGTCAGTCCAAGGCACGCAGTAATTGTGGAACCAACATTACTCCTTGCTATACATTTTTTACACACATATACATCTTTTGACAAGACACTTTACATGCCAGTTTGCACATAACAGTTGCACATGTAGTGTTGTATATAGTAATATACTTGTACATACGCTCGTCAATTTGTATATTTGCATTTACTACTTACTTCTATTTTTAAAATATATTTATTATCTGTGTTTTTGTCCTGTTTCTGTAATTCTGTTGCAATGAAGCTCTGTCACCAAAACAAATTCCTCGTATGTGTGAACACACCTGGCAATAAAGCTTTGTAATTATGATTCTGATTCTAAAAATGTGTAAGAATATTAAAAAGCCTTTATTGATATGGCTATTCCTTAAAATTGCCTTCAAGTGTGTGCTAAAACGCGTTGTCAAAGTTTTAAGGAATAGCCATGTCAATAAAGGCTATTTTTTCCAAATTTTTTGAGTGCCTTGGACTGACTTTAGCTGCTAATTAATTATATTTATTTATTTATGTTTTTATTAGAGTTCAGATTGAAATATCTCAAACTTCTCGATTTGCATTATCTATTATTAGTTTTTAAAAAATGGGGACAGTTTATTTTGTATATTTTTATTTTACATTAAAACGGCTCAGAGTATATCATATAACCCATATATTATTATATGATACAGCAGGCTTTATACGCTTAGGAAGGAAACACAGCCAGGCCAGGTTCTCCCCACTCACAGGCTGTTTCTCAATTCCAAGAACGCAGAGAACGGACTTGTGTTCTTGTCTAGACCAGTCTCGGGAGACCACAAGAACAGAGAACGTGTCTTGTGAGAAATAGGATGCTGCATTCTTCCTGAAGGTCACATGACCTTTACGCAATTTTTAAATGAAAATTATTTACACATTACAGCATTCATACAACTTTTTTTTTCCTTTTTCACAATTTATACTATGCATAAAGACTTTACAAATATACGTTTCACAACATAAATAAAACAGATTTTAATATGAATTTCAGCAAATAAACACCCTTAATGTGTTCCTTTTTTAAGATTTTCATGATAATGTTCTGTTTAATTTAGGGAAACTCCTGAGATAAATGAGATATATCTTTGAATTTTAATAATAAACCCATATAAAATGCTGGGCTTTTTCCCCCTTCAGTCGCAATGACCTAATGGGACCTCTAGTGCAAGTTCAGTGCTCAAGTCTGCATCCAAGCATCCTCGATATCAAGAACACATCCAGGAAGTTTCACTCGTTCTCTGTTCTTGTGGTCTTGAGTATTGGAACTGAACTCTGGCAGTTGATGATGATGTTACAGGAGAACACCAGGACGCAAGATCACTGAAGAACGCATATTGAGAAACAGCCACAATCACCTCAATCACCCTGATCACAGTCACCTGTCTACTAATCAGTCACGCACCTGCACGTCAATAAAACCCCTCACTGTCCTTTACTCAGTGTCCGGCCTCGTCGCATAAGGCTTCACGGTTATACTTACCTGTTCTGTTCCTTGTGGTCTCCATTGTCTGAGTCTCTCCTTCTCCTAGTGTGTTTCCCTTCTGGTCTCTTCTGGTTGTGTGTTTCTCTATATTCTACTCATTCCTGATCTTTACTTGTTCATATCATTCCTTTTAATACCTAAAATAAACTGTTGTTCTTACTCACAGCTGTGTCATCCCCCTTATGTGACATTTTCTCTATTTGTTTCTCTCAGTTTCCTAAAGATAAAATACAGTGCCCACTGTTTTGCAAATTTGACAATATTGTGTATATATTTCACAGCAAACATCATGGGTCAAGTAATGCCTCAGACATGGGTCAAGTGTTGCCTCATTTTTTTGAGTAAAACTGCCTCAATCATTTAGGCTTCGGAAGTCAGAAAAATGTCCCTCAAAACCCTGGAGGAGCTGTATATAATACTTGCAATCACATCCATTTCATTTTTATTCTTGGAGTTCTCCAAGATTAATCTCTGCCCTACTTTCTTCAAGGAATATGGCATTGATGAAGTGGAGATGCTGTTGAAAAGATCGAAAATAAAGGCTAAAGAGCGTCTGGTGGATGTTGTTCTGGAGTTCTTTTCCTCTTGCAAGTAGGACACATTTGCATGATTTTTGTGTTGTGCGGCTGTTTCTTCCATTATGGATAACACAAAGCCTGTTCTCAATGGTCCTCAGGCAGTACAGCAGCAACTTAGAAAGGAAGAGGAATCCACGCCAAAACAACCTGGATAAATGCCGCGTGGGGCTCATCAAGAGGAACATTGTGAGTGGCTGGATTGATTTTGGTTTAATAGAAGTACACCAGTGATGCTGTGGTTTAAGTGGGACAAACAGAGTATATTGGGAATGTCATACAAAAGGTTTGGCATGATATATTATTTAATTACTATATTATTGGTAAATTTGTTAATTTAATATTGTTATTTTCTATGCAAGAATTATGTAAGTAGTCATTTATTTGTGGGAAGGCATAGCTGACTTTTCAGCATCAATACTTCAGGCTTCAGTGTAACATGATCCTTCAGAAATCACTCTGATATCCAGATTCGATGCTCAGAAAATGTTTATGATTCTTAATGCGGAAAATAGTTGTACTGCTTCATATATTTGTAAAAGCACTTCATTCAAATTCATTCAAATGAGACTTTCTTTTAAATTACATTAATATTTGGTAACACTAAGGTTAATAAGGTTGAATTAGTTCATGCATTTACAAACAATGAACAATACAATTATTACCGTATTTGTTCATCTTTGTTAACATTAGTCAATGGTAATAAAGTCGTTCATGTTAACTCACAATGCATTATCTAACGTTAACAAGCATGAATACATTTTTTATAATGCATTAATAAATTTTTTCAGTACAAGTATTGTTTATTATTAGTTCATTTTAGTAAATACATTAACCAATGAAACTTTATTGTAAAATATGATCTAATATTTTTATTTGACAAGGATGCATTAAAATCACCATAATGAATGAATGATTGAGTTAATGTATTTTCAGTTGTGCTCGAAAGTTTGCACACCCTTCAGAGAATTTGTTAAAATGTGAATAGTTTTAACAAAATAAGAGAGATCATACAAAATGCACATTCTTTTTCATTTAGCACTGTTCAGAGTAACATATTGTATTGTACAGGTTTACATAAAGTTCATCACACAAATATTTAGTTGAAATTATTAAAATAACCCCCTGCAAAAGTTTACATACCCCTGATTTTCAATACAGTGTGTGTTGTCCTGATGATCTACAAGTGCTTTTTCAGCGTTGTGATGGCTGTTCATGAGTCTCTTGTTTGTTCTGAACAGTTAAACTGACTGCTGTTCTTCAGAAAAATCCTTCTTCTGCAGATTCTTCTGCGTTCTGGCATTTTGAATCTGAAGATCAAGTTTAGCACTTAATTTGTGTTTCAGGATGAATCCAAGTATTTTCTGTTCCAAAGGGCAGTACTAAATTATAAAAAGAAAGAAAATTATTCTTATTTTATCCCCAACCTCCCGCTTCTGGAGCATCAGTGAGGGTTTAAACCTTTTAAACAGTAGTGTTTGAGTCCCTCAATCATCCTCTGAGCGAAAAGATGAAAACTGAAGAGTCTGCAGAACATGGAGGATTTTTTCTGAAGAATGGCAGTTAGTTAACTGTTCAGAACAAACAAGAGACTCGTAAACAACCATCACAAAGCAGAAAAAGCACTTGTAAATCACACACAGTATTACAAATTAAGGGTATGTAAACTTTTGCAGGGGGGTTATTTTAATAATTTCAACTAAATATTTGTCTAGTTAACTATATGTAAACCTATTTTATGTACAATATCTATCTATCTATTACTATATTACCTACCTATATACTATATATATATATATATATATATATATATATATATATATATATATAACATATTCATTAAAGATTCCTTATAATGACCACACTTTCCACATAAATATGTAATCAATGTAATTCAATGTAATAGTAAGAAGCATTAATAATAGTTGTGCACCAATAATCAAAACATTAAATGTGCATATGATTTCTGAAAAATCATTAGACACAGGGGTTATTGCTGCTAAAAAAACATCTTTTACAGGAATAAATTAAATAATTACATATTTCTTTTTATATTTATTTATTTTATTATTATTATTTTTAAATAATTTCCCAGTATTTTTTTTTCTGTAGGTTTGTGATAAAAATCTGAAACCTCACATTTTTTTCCCCTGACAGGTTTTGCTGGCCAAGCAGACACTAAGAGTGAGAAAACGAGTCACCAGAAATACAGTTAAAGACCGACTAGCAGATCTTAGAAATATCACCAAGAGACTCCGCTTTCTGGCTATAGAGGTAATTCCATCAGTTTTAATATAAACACACTCTACATAAGTCTATATTTGAGCAGCAGATCTGTATGTGAATGTCTGTGTTGTGATGTGTCAGCCTCAGAGCACTCTGCCTGATGTGTTCCTGTGGATGTTGAGTGGAGGGAGACGTGTGGCCTACGCCAGGATTCCTGCACCCTCTGTCCTCTTCTCTCTGGTGGAGGAGGAGAAAGGAAAAGACTGCGGAAAAATCACTGCTGTGTACATGAAGGTGAAGCATTATATCACACAGTCTTCCTTTGTTAAAGCAGTTTATTTGGTGTTTTCTAAAATAAAACTCACTGGTAAAAGAGGTCAACCTGAAGTGTTTTTGTTGATCTGATCATAAATAGACATGCTAATTATGGATATAAACAGGCTCTAAAAGTTGAATTTTTCCACTTTTGACAAAAAACACATGCAATGTTAAAACAAGTCAAATATTCATAAGATCAGACTGTTTTTATTTTAGTGTTGACACTCATATTCCTTAACAATACAGGACAAGATATTAAAGCACATTGATTATAAGGGATTAAATCTTTGGCTTTGTAAGCTGGGTTTTAAAGGGGAAAAATATAAAGAGCAAAAGTTTTAACACAGACTAGCACCATTTTTAGTTTTGTGGCTATTAGAGCAGAAGCAAAACATTATCTCCTTTCATGAATGCTACATGTTAACAGTTATTCAGTGTCTATAGAAATACTAGAATAATAAATATTATGCTACCATAATAAAATCTCTATATATCACTAAAATGATTTCTCTAAAATATTCATATACTGTATATATGTAAGGATACATTTATAGAAATAAATTGATATTTAACTACAAAAGAGATTCTTGCAATTTAGTTTTCTTTTATACTCTTCCTACAGCAATTTTTACCAAATATTTTAAAGCAGCTCTTAAATTGGTGCATTTCTTGATTTTTTTATTGCACACATAAAATGATGAATGTTATACTATACAAAACATATGTTGTATAGTCAGATTTTCCACGTGATGAAAATGTATGTATGAGAGAAGAGATGTTGTTGCAAGAGGCATGGAATGTTATTTGGAATAAATATTAGAATTGGACTTGAATTATATAGATATTAAAAAAATATTTACACTGATAATTTGTGATAAGCACTAGTCTATAAAAAAAGAAATAAAATAATTAAGTTAAATTATATAATTATAATATAAAAAAATAATATTATACTGTTGTATTTATTAATAATATATACTATAGTGCTTTAGTATTTATTAATAATATATTATATATTAATAATTAATCCTAATAATACATAATTAAATAATAAATCATAATAAAATAATAAAAAACAGTTTAATATTGCATGAGTGATTCTTTTTTTTTTTTTTTTTTAAACTCTCAAAAATATATATTGTTTTAATTTGTGTTTCTTTTCATTCTATAGACACCTGGAGGGCCAGTGGGGGAAATCTTCGCCAAGCTGGAAGTCTATATGTGGCTGGGTATCACAAAGTATGCCAAAAACTGTGTCACCAGTCTTCCAGCAGAGTTTAGACCCATTTACGAAGATGCGACATCTGGTGCATCGATTCCCCGTAACATGCCTCCCACCAAATTAGCAGTGGAAGGTACTTCATCCAATACAAACACACTTCTCCATAATTTACCTCAGGCAGCTTCGAAAAACCAATATATTTTTACTAGGATGACATTTGAATTCATTTGCCCAAAAATTACAGTCCTGCTCTCTGTCTTTTCATCCAGACAGTCGTTACTTCCAGTTACGTGCTCACATTTATCAGGCGCGGGGCATCATTGCAGCTGATGACAATGGACTGTCAGACCCCTTTGCCAAGGTTGTGTTCAGCACTCAATGTCAAGTCACACGGGTGAGTTTTACACACACACACACACACACACACACACACACACACACACACACACACACACACACACACACACACACACACACAAACACACACAAACACACATATACAGTTAAAGTCCAAATGATTAGCCCTCCTGTTAATTTTTTTTTTTTATATTTCCCACATCATGTTTAACAGAGAAAGGATTATACTCGTTTCTTTTATTCCTGTCAACGTAAAGCACTAATTACCATTGTGTGTAAAAATGTGTTATATAAATTAACTTGCCTTGCCCTAATTAAGTACTTTAAGCTGAATACTATTGTCACGATTTATAAAGTTTTCTAGGGAGAGAAAACAACATTTAGAATACTATATTATTACTAAAGGAAATGGATGGAAATAAACAAGGACACACAATATAACACTGAAATTGTTTGTTCCTCTATAAGGAAAAATTATAAAGCCAACAAAGGAGAGGCATGTATGAGCTTTGTACAGTGGATTTGAAAATAAATAAAAGCAATCATAGAAATATAATCAAACCAAAAGTTACAGGGGGGAAAGGAACTAGAGTGGTGCCAAAGCAAAGAACTAAACAAAACCAACAGCCACATAAATTAGAACTCAACATCCCCTCTAAACTTATTAATAAAAATAAAAATGTGAAAAAGAAACCGAAATGGACGCCAATAAAGTACACTTCCAGAAACAATAAACAAAATTTAAAAAGCTGCGCTGACCCACTTATATAATGTTTCTGAACAATTCAAATAACTACGGGCAAAGTGTATGTTGTGTGACTTGTTAACCTATGCCTTTTTCCCCAAAAAGGAATGATAAACTTATACCATATTAAATTTCAGTTGCTTAGACTTATTAAGAGACACGAAACAAATACAGAAACAGAAACAAACGTACACAGCACTGAACAAACAAGGCCTGCTGGTCAAATTTAAAGTCAGTGGAACGAAGCCTGATTGGTCAACGAGGAAATGCCCTAATGAGGAGTGGCTGGCTCGGGATCCAATCAGAAGATACCTTTGAAGGAAAAAATTGCGAAACAAATGGTGATAGGGTGAGACAAAGAGCAAATGATAGATAAGGAGAAAAAGAGAGACAGAGAGGGAGAAAGCGACAAAAATCCAAACTCCCACAGTCCATAAAAACTAGTATCTTGAAAAACATCTAAAATGTTATGTACTGTCATCACGACAAAAGAAATCAGTTATTAGAAATGAGTTATTAAAACTATTATGTTTAGAAATGTGTTAAAGTAAATCTTCTTTTAAAGAGAATTGTGTTCAAAAATATATAAGGGAGTTTAATAATTCAGGAGGGCTAAAAATTCTGACTTCAACTGTATGTCACCTCATGTGTCCCCAATAAAAAGCACTGGATATTAAAACGAGCTCATTTTCAATTCCAAAGAGATTTATTGTCCATTCGTGACAGGTCCATTAAAGGATCTGAATGGGCAGTGAAATGAGTCTTTCAGCTTTCATTGATTGCAGTTTTGTGTCTTGAGGGACTGCTAAAAGACTTTATCGTTTGTAGGTGATGGAGGAAACTCTGTCCCCGACGTGGTGTGAGTTACTCTTCTATGATCAGGTTCTGATGGAGGGCAGTAAGGACGAATACAGGGAAGACCCTCCGGTGGTCATCATCAACATCTATGACTACAACAAACTAGTGGGTTCTGTGTGTTAACTGCTTTTGAATATGTGATTTTTGAGATTGGCCATAGTGTGTGTGTGTGTGTTTATAAATGTGTGAGTATATGGGTGTTTCCCAGTACTGGGTTGCAGCTGGAAGGGCATCCGATGCATAAAACATATGCCAGAATAGTTGGCGGTTCATTCCTCTGTGGTGACCCCTGATAAATAAGGGACTAAGCCAAAGGAAAATAAATGAACGAATAGTCCACCTGTGTGTTCACTATATGTAATCTGAAACTGTTGTACTTATGAATATTTACTATACGCTATAATTCATTTGCTTTATGTGTGATGTGTTTGATTGTTGCATCAGGGAAGTCCACAAGCCCTTGGTCGTGCATTTGCCAGGCCAGAGCTGAAGTTTGTGGAAGAGCCGTATAAAAAACCCCAGCTGCAGTTTTTCGAGATCACAAAAGGCAAGAGTAAAGCTGGTGAAATTCTGGCCGCTCTTGAGCTTATTGAGCTGGATTACTCAAGCTTTGGAGAGGTGGGACCTGATTTCTCTCTTTAACTATACTGCAAAAGAAGAGGATTTAGCTTAACACACTCATTAAAACATTAATTTGTCTGTTTTAGATCAGTGTTTTAGTGTAAAAATGTCCATTGTCAATCGGCTTAACAGATATGTTTATGTGAAAAGACTAAATTTTTCTTTTATACATTTTAATAAGTACAGGTTATGATAAGTAATCATACAAAAGTATATTATATTATATTATATTATATTATATTATATTATATTATATTATATTATATTATATTATATTATATTATATTATATTATATTATATTATATTATAGTTTGAAGGATAGCTGCAAAGTATAAGGAATTGAAATGACTATTAAATAGAGTCTGTTTTCTATTGTAATATAGTGTTTTCTATTTTTATATGCATTATAGTAATACAAAAATTGAAAGTTAAAGAAACAGTATTTATTTAAAATAGAAATCTTTTGTAAGATTATAAATGTACTAAAGTTTATAACAGGGAACACATATTTTCTAAAGACCAAGAATTTTTTTTTTCTCAATAAAGTAAATTACTACAGTTAATTGATCGTAAGTAATGGACAGTAGTTGTGGTAGCAGTATGAGGTTAAGGGATTTAGAAGAATATGTTGTCCAGAAGAAAGTATTCTTTATAATTACTAATAAATAGTCAAAATGTTACAAAATATACATGTTAATAATCAAATGTATGATAAAATATATATGCAGTGGTGGAAAGAGTACTGTAAAATTACATACTCAAGTAAAAGTACCATTACTTGCCCAAAAATGTGCAAGCAGAGTAAAAGTACCTCTTGTATATTTCACTCGAAGTATGAGTAAAAAGTTACCCTTTTAAAAGTACTCAAGAGTAGTGTGTATTAGCCTGTGAAAGGTTGATGCCTTTACATGCAATTTGTGCATGTGTGTGAAAACGTAACATTCTGTAGTGCATTTAGTTCTTGTTTAAGGCCATTTGGCGATTTCAGTCATCATACAGTAAACGAACATGCATCATCTTCTCATTAGAGACATGCTGTCTAAACAGTCTCTAGGTCATTTCTCTATTTCTCTTTTTTTTTTGTAAGCGCCCAGGCCTTGAGGTTGTTCGGTATGATGTGATTTTTTTTCCTGTTTGTTATTTGATTGGACAGGAATCACAAGACTTTTTCTACTTTAGCCAATCCTCATAGACAAGAAAAAATAAACCAGTGACTGCAGGTTGATGTAAAATAGTAGAGTAAAAGTACAAATACATGAATATAAATGTACTCAATGCAAAGTAAAAGAACACATTTTTAAAACTACTTAATAATTACAATTCCTGAGAAAAAATACTCAATTACAGTAATTTGAGTATGTATAATTTGTTTCTTTACACCACTGAATATATGTTGCCCAATCAGATTTGCTCAAAAATCTTTATAAGTAATTAGGCTGACCCTATGATAGCATATACAAACAGTACATATATTCCTTATATTTAAAAGAAAGGTCAAATCAACTTGAAGCCAATCCTCTGCCAACCTCTCTCTCTCTCTATATATGTATCATAAAGTTTTAAAATATGCCTTTTAAATGTCATATTTATGTGCTCTGAATTGATCTCAGCCAGCTCTGCCAGTGGATGTTGACCCCAAGAAACCACAATACATGGAAGAAGAATGCTATTATATCATTCCTGAGGGAGTGCGACCCGTGCTGAGGAAATACAGAATAGAGGTACAACCTTGAGCAGATATAAGCTGATATCAAGTCTTTAACTTAACAACAACAATCTAACACTAGATCTACCAAGGTAGGCAGCCATTCTGAGAGAATAATTGCAGTCTAATAACTTTACTGAAATAAAAACCATATAACTCTAGAACCGCGACTTTTCAAACATGCGCACTGTAAAAACTATCTGTTAAATAACAGGTTCCGTTTTTTGTGATTCACAAGTGTTTTCTGTTTATTTCCAGTTGTTAATTGCATTATGGGTTGTTGATCTCTGCTCTGTCCAATTTTGATGTTGAAAATTCAATTCTACAGTTTAACAAAGAGACTTTTATTGACATTTTAGTCATTTGAAGAAATAATATTTAGAGAAACTATTTAGTTTGTAAAATAACAGAAAATGTACTGGCAGCTTATTACCAGGTTTTTGTAACTTAATTTACAACAACAACCCAGACATAAAATCACTTCAAACTATTAAAAATGTCAATAAAATAAATTTAAAATTGGTCAAATTATAGTTGCGCAATATAAACAGCATATTATTTCAGCGTAGGCTACTTTTTTAGATATGTTCAGAAAAGTTTTTACTGTGATTTGAAATCATATTGGTGATGTGTTGTTAATTTCATACAAAGAAATTAACAAATATTGACTTTGAATTTGTGTCTACATAGATACAACAACAGGTTATGTTGTGGACAGTAAATTAATACATTAATTTATAAACATTATATTATATTTATTATATTAAGACATTTTAAAATTATATATTATATAATAATAATAATAATATAATATAATTTATTATATAAAATTAAATTATATTAACCTGTCATAAAATATCACATCTATTTATTGAGGGACTTTTGATTCTAGTAAGGGCTCCAAATGGATGGATGTAAACGCAAACTGTTTTTATCCACCAAAATATTCTACTCCAATCCATATTTGTTGCCATTTAGACTTTCGAAAAAAACACTTTGCCTTTCTCAGTAGCTCTTACACAATGGGCTATATGCACAAGGACTTTTAATTTTAATCAGCCAGCCCCTGGGCATCCAGTTAATTGTCATGCCATACAAAATCATTGCGTTTAAGATCAGGTTTCTTTAAAAACAGTGATCTTCACTGCCTGGCTGAGATACGATATAAAGTGGGTATCAGTCCAAACAAAAGCATTGCATTAAATTTTACCCCCCCCCCCCCCCCCATGTCTTTAAAATATGGTAATAAATCTTACCCCAGTATTTTTAATGGCATTTCTCTGCTAGCCTGCGACTAATGATGGTGCCTACATTTAAATGGTCTTTTTACGTTTTAACAGCGAAACTACTTAAGTCTGTTTAACTGATTATATTTGAATTACATTTCAACATCAATGCTGTAAAAGGAACCTTATGAAATTAAAAATATTCACATTAAGCTCTCACTGGAGTTCATCATTGGCTGAAAACACTAGCTGTGCATATAGTCCATTTAAATATTATTAAAAAACGATCACAAAGTATTGCTAAGCTTCACTCTAAACAACACTGGAAGATTCAGATATAAGTATGACTTATTTAGTAGAATCTAGTGTCACTGCTATGATTGAAAAAGTGTAAAAGATCTTGAAAGCACAACAATAAATCAATATAGTTTATTCAAATATTAGATCAATTTATCACACAAAGAGTGTTCAAAATAGCAGCACATTTTCACCTTTTCCACAAGTTTTTGACTTTTGACAGTGTTTTGAACTCAAACTCTTAAATGACAGGTGCTGTACTGGGGCCTGAGGGGCTTGAAAAGGGTCAACCTGTTTGAGGTGGAGCGTCCTCAAGTGAGGATGGAGTGTGCGGGACAGATGATCGAGTCGGAGGAAATTCAGAGTTACAAGCTGAACCCAAACTTCAGTGATGTGGTTAAACACTTTGATGTTGTAAGACTCCCTCTTTTTAAAGTATTAGACCTTATCTTAAGAGCTGTGTTCAGAACAGGCTGCTGTACAAGCTTTGATCACATCCCGTCTCAGAATTACCAAGTTAAAAGCAAAGCCGGTGAGATCATGCCTTCTCTTGAGCTTTTTCATTTGAAAGTCTGATGTCTTTTTCAGCTTGATTGACTGTGCAATAGGTGGTTATTATTGCATGTTATTTGGTGTAATTGGCAATTGTTTACGTGAGGTTTTTCCACTTTATTTCTACAAACATTAAATTACATTTTCTTTTTTAAATGAACAAAAAATTAATGAATTAAAAAAATCACAATATTTATTTTACAAACAAACTTTCACAAAAATGAAAACAGAAAATATAAATTAAAAACTAATACAGTTGTATTAATTAAAATACTTGACTAATACAATGACATTAAAAATAAATACTATTTAATAAAAACTATTTAATAAAAAATAAATAATATACTATTTTGTATTTATTTTATAAACTATTTTGCTGTTTTATTCTTGAAATTAAAAAGTGAAATAAGGTTAAACATAAACACTTATTTTAATTTTGTTTAGTTTTTTTAGTTTAGTTTTGGTGTACTTTGAAGTAAAATCTGATGTATTAAAAATAACAATAAAATTAAAATAGTTTAAAAGTACAACAATTTTAACTCAAAAACAAATGTGAAAACAAAAGAGAATTTAAACTATTAATAAAACTATAACAGTTACTTAAAAATAATAAAATAATAAGTTAAACTAAGCTGTTATGATTTAGTTTAAATTAATAATAAAAAAAGATATATATATGCATTTATAAAGTGTGCTTCACACAGTTGAGTAGGCTTGACAAACCACCTGTAGAAACACTCTTCCATCTCAATAAAAAAAACTTACTATACTACTATACCACCTAATTCTCTAAGCACTAGCAGTTCCTTTGTACAATTAGCACTTATTGTGTGCATTGCTTCTTCTTGTTGAATTTCTGAGAATAAATTGCTAAATGCAAATGTCTCATTATAAACGGAACAATGTTAAACACAACATATTAAACATTTGACGAAAAATTGACCTGCTTACTTCAATTGCATGCACTTTGCTTGAAAACTCATGACTGGTGATGCGTCCTCAGGAGCTGCCAGAGCTTGTGTACCTTCATCCTCCTCTCACCATTTTCGTAATGGAGCAGAGGGCCTTCGGGAGGCTGGTGCTGGTGGGAACTCATGTGGTTCAAAACCTTGTGCAGTTTGGGCCCAGAGACCAGGAGGAGTGGAAAGACGAGGAGGAGGAGCCTGAGGGTATGGAAACTTCTACATATGTTTGGGGTTTACAGGTCATAATAAAAGCATCTGCTGTTCTGATATTCATGCATTAATATTTTACTTTGTAAAAAGTGCACCAGACTCTCATGTTTTATAAAACAGAATGGCACTAAGCTTCTAAAATGAGAAAAGATACTGAATGCCAAATATGGTAACGTGCTTGAAAAGGTAATAACGCTGTAGATGATTTTCTGTTTCTTGTACAGACTACTTATCGTGTTTCAGTAGACCCCATGTGTGTTCATTTTGCTTTGCCTGAAAGTTTTTTTGGACTCTCTAAATCCTAATAAATATTGACTTGTATTTTTATGATTCACAGGTAACAGTTTCAGCTAATAAATATTTAATGTTATTCTGAAGGAATAAGTCATTCAGAATAATAAGTCTTGAATGACCTTAAGATGGGTAAACTTACAGCATATTTTCATTTTTGGTTGAACTCCCAAATGAAAAAAACACTATAGTAATTTATAGGAAATACTATAGTGTTTTGAATCATAATAAACTATAGAATATTGCACTAAATTATGTATATTATAGTATAAAACACAACTTTTTCAGTGATTTGAACTTTTTATTGAGTTTTCTTATTTGCACTTATTTGTATTTTTTAAATTTGCTTAAATCACTATAGTTGTGTGACCATAGCAACTATAGAATTAGCACAACATATTAATTATAGTACTCCACTATAGTATTGTTCAGAAACAGTATAGTATTTACTATACATTACTATAGTATTATTTCATCTTTGTGAACTCATTTTGATCCAAGGAAAAATGAATATTATATAATTTATCCACCCTCAAGCCATCTTGGCTGTATATACAGTACTGTTCTTCTTTCAAACAAACACAATCAGAGATATAAAACATAATGGTAACACTTTATTTCGATAACCCATTTGAGTATTAGTAGACTGTCTGCTTAATATCGATTGATACTGCTCTTTAGTCAGTCATTTAACTGACTATAAGAAACTTTGCAAGTACATGTCAACTTACACTAATCCTAACTCTAACCCCGACCCAACAGTCTAATCATAATCTAGTGAAAATTAGATGGCATGTAGCTGCAATGTAACTTAAATTCAACAAACTGCCCATCAAAATAAAGTCTGACCTAAGTAATATTTCTTAGTATTGCTCTATTGAATAGTGTCCAATTTGTTTATGCTACTAAAAGTTGCATCAGTCATTAAAGCGTCTGTCCATTACTAAAGTAATCCATGGAAACTCCAGTTGGTTTATTGGTGCCTTGTAAAGCAAAATGATGGCTTAAAAAAAAAGTAAAAACAGATTCAACTGCTGTAAATACACTGAAATGAGAATTAAATGATGTTTAACACAGGAATAGAGGCGGCCAAGGTGAGATTTGATGCCTTTCTTTGGTTTGGAAGATGCTTTGGCTTTACTGTAGATTTGTATTTGTGTCTATCTTAAAAGGATGTGTTTGTATGTCTACCTGACATGCTTCAACTTAAGTGAAGTCATATGTTTATGTTGACCTACATCAGCGAGAGATGAAAAATGTACATTTCACAAGTTCCCTATAAATGATCATGAGCGATTGAAGTTTTGTCTGCTCGCTTTTTGCTTGGATATGAATGCACTCTGGGTAAAAAAACAAGCTCAAAAGATCCAGGCTGTGCAGTGAACATTTAACCCCCAAGGATTACAAGTCTTCTGAAATCGTCAGCTGTGACTGTTTCTGTACTGTTTTTTCAACCAAAATAGCTATATTTTGAACTTTACTGGTTTGTTTGTTGGATTTAAGTTGTTAATAGTTAGACAACTCTTTAAAAGTGTAATTATGCTCAATCATCCACACTTTCATTTTCATCTTCATCAATTGACACCATAGCTTCTTCTGCACCTACAGTACATCACACTTCAAAACTCTTGTGAATGAGAAAATGGCAATTGATATAACTGACTTTTGGTGTAAATATGGATTTTTTCTATCCTACAACACTGTAGAAAAACTAAAACAATATTTATAAATATAAAAAGCATAAAAATCCTTAGAAACAATCAGAAGAATAGAACAGAATCTCTGAATAGCATTGCTTAACTTTATAGCCTTAAAAAAGCCGGAGGCTGTGCACATTTTAAATGATTACAATTAAAAAAGGGTAAAGCAATGATTTAATATTGGCGGTGTCCCCAAAGTTTAGGCAGCCAATTGGTTGCCTTGCAGCCCTATCTTGGACTCAGACAGACTTCTGAGACAGCATATATATATAAACAGAGAGATCTTTTGTGGTGAATAAGTTAATATTTGCTCACTACAAAGACTAACTTCTCACTAGAAATGTCATCAAAATTTGAAAACACTGGTCAAAAGTGTACGTTTACATACAAATTGACACCCAATTGCTGCTTTGAAATGTCATGTTTATTTTTAGCTATTATAAAAAACTGAATAAACAGCTTTGTGGAAAATTTCAGATCAAATTTTGAAGGCAGCATACAGATAGATAGATGCAAATTCAATCAGAAGAATGTATCTCCTGAGACAAGAAGTTAAGCATAATTTGGATTCAGATGTCCCTTGTACACAGCCATTGATTAATATATCCCAGCTTCCTTTGTGGGCGGCACAGTGGCTCAGTGGTTAGCACCATTGCCTCTGAAGGTTGCAGGTTCGAGTCCTAGCTGGGCCAGTTGGCATTTCTGTGTGGAGTTTGTATGTGTTCTCCCCGTTTTCACATGGGTTTCCTCCGGGTGCTCCAGTTTCCCCCCACAGTCCAAAGACATGCTATAAGTGAATTGGATGAACTAAATTGGCTGTATGGTATGACTGTGTGTGGGGATGAGAGAGTGTATGGGTGTTTCCCAGTACTGGATTGCAACTGGAAGGGCATCCACTGTGTAAAACATGTGTGACGACACCTAAAAAATTAGGGACTAAGCTGAAGGAAAATGTATGAATGAATGAATATATCTTACTTTGAAAGAGTGCATAAGTGCTTCCCAGTACTAGATTGCAGCTGGAAGGGCATCCACTGTGTAAAACATATGCTAGAGTAGTTGGCGGTGACGACCCCTGAAAAATTAGGGACTAAGCTGAAGGAAAATAGATGAATGAATATTTCTTCCTTTAAAATTTTTAACATTTTCTTAGTTTTTGAGACTTATTTAAAGGGGACATCTGACCTCAAAATAAAAATAACTATTTACCATTTACTCACCATGTGTTTTAAGCCTTCAGGAGATTCTTATTTCTTTTCCGCACAAAAGAAGATATTTTGGTAACCACTAGCCACTGTCATAATCTCCACTATAAAATACTATGGAAGTTAATGGCTACTGGTTTCTAACATTCTTAAAAAATGTCTTCAACAGAAAAAAGAAACCTGAATAAGTTGAGTAAATTGCAACATTTTCATTTTATTTTCACCTATATGCAATGTGAGATACAAGTGTGGTTTTCCCCACCCATCATATTGATTGTCAGGCACCATGTTTCTATAAAAATACTTATACACATGTCCACAGAATTTTTTTTTGGAAAATAAACTGGGATTAAAATATTTGTTACAACTGTGATTTTTAAAATATTTTTTGTAAGTTTAAAAACGTTTTTAAAATGTTTGTTATAAAGAAAGTAAAATCGAATCGCCATGTAATTCACAAGCGATATTATCAGTAAACGCTAATATATATATATATATATATATATATATATATATATATATATATATATATATATATATATATATATATATATATATATATATATATATATATATATATATATGTGTGTGTGTGTGTGTGTGTGTATACAGTAAACAGCATTTGTGAGACTCAGAAAGGCTGACACAATCTCACGGCAATTCGTAATTTTTTTATTTAGTGGCCAATTCGTATAATCTAATTCGTGCAATTTAGTACGATTTGCTCATCACCTAACGATGGTTGGGGTTAGGGGTGGGGTTAGGTGCCACGCCTCCTTTTTAAAATCGTACGTTTTCGTACGACTGTACTGTTTAGTGTTTAGTGGCTAACTTTAGCCACTAAACTGTCAAAACGTAAAATACTTATGCTTCCTCGTGAGATCAGGCTGGAAAGGCTTGAATAAACTCTACCACAAAAACATGAAATAAACTTACTTGGTATTTTTGACTAATGAGCTGCATTTCAGCTTCATCTGAGTCCGTCACTGTGCTGTTTATCTGACTTAAGCCGTCTTTCAACTGCGCACGACATTTGGACACGACTGTCAGATTACACCCCCTTGTGGAATTCGCACAGAATTTTCAGTGTTGTCGTGCACCATGGGAGTGAAGCTGATTCTCATGGTCTCCGAAATAATTTGCCATGGTTGAATGAATTAATGAATGAATCAATACTAGAAACTCAAATATTATTAGAATAATATAATAATAAACTCAACTGTTATTATACTAGAAGTTCAAATATTTCAACGTATCCACAGCTCAAATCGGATCTGAAATTTCCGCATACGGAGATGATCAAAACTCCATGCAGCTCCCGGACTGCTCTCCATTGGAAATTTATGACTTCCGGTCTGTCGCTTGTTGTTTGCAGTCGAAAGGCAGCTTTAGCGCATTATGAGACTCAGAGATGCATGAGGGAGCGTTAGGCTGGCAGAAACAGTTAATTTTCATTTAAAGCCACAGTATACAAAAACAGCTACAGTATACTCAGACATCAAAATGGGGTTTACAGACACATCTTGGTGACACTAAAGGCTTATCTTACATCTTGTAAAAGGGAAAAGGTTACTTTTAACACCTATTTACATGTTAGTTATGGTGAAACTCAGGCAACATTCACTTCTAGGGTGAGCCAGTTATGGGATAATTTTCATTTTTAGGTGAACTGTCCCTTTTAATGTCAGTCTTAGAAACATTGCAACTACCTTGTCTGTTTTTTAAAACAAAACAACTCCTAAACATTCACTCTCAACTTTAGAGAAAAAGCCTCCTAAGAAGTCCACTCCATTAACCACTGTGATCAACATGGATTTGGGAGGCCTTCCTCTGAAGCACACCAAAATTCCCATCAACCCTCTCAACTTAGTCACGGTAAGCTTCTCCTTATTTTTCAGTTCACTAAAATGACCATGTGTGCAGAACGGTTTTTAAAAAAGCTACCGTCTTCCAGCACTTTTCAGAGATTGTACTAACCTTTTTATTCACCACCACAGCTGCCGTGTGGTCTTGGAGTATCTAGTCTGGGTGCGATGACGTTAGTTGGCTGCTTTTGAATGTTTGAAATAGCTCCTAATGAGTACTCAGCGCACATGTTTTAACCATCCACAGTCTGCAGTTATTAAATGTGAAGCCCTTTGCACCCATTAACCTGTTGATTACAGTGTGAACGTGCGCAGTGTGTTCCTGTAGCAGTTTGAGCTCCTGCTGTTCGATCACTCTGATTAATTGGGCAGCCCCTGCATAGCCAAGACTCCTGCTGACATCCAAATGGGGCGCGTTCAATCATAAGTGTGTGCGTTTGGCTGTTAAAAATCTGTGTTTGCATGCAGGCTTGTTTGCAAATAAAAGGGACCTATTATGCAAAAATCACTTTTAAGGAGGTTAAACACAGTTTTGTGGTAGCAGTTTGTGAGTATAAACAGCTTCTAATGGTAAATAATTATACATTTTATTTTTTATAATTGCACTTTATAAAAACACCCTGCAGAATCACTTTTATTGACATTCTCCCTTTGTACGTGTCGTCAGAGGGGGAAAGCCCCGCCCATTAGTGACTCTCTCGATAGCATAGGGCGTTGGTCTTGTTTTTGAATCTGCTACTATGCTGACATGTAGGCATATCTAGCTCCGCCCACTTTTAAAAAGAGGGCTGGGAGCACAATCTCATTTAAATTATAAAGTGACAGTCACTAAAATGGCTTAATATGGATCAAAGCCTAAAAGGGATTGATTTAGAGTTATAAAACGTTATTTGGGTCTTTTTTTAAGCTGAACCTGCAAATACACACTTATGAAAGGTTGAATTTGACATCAGAGTGAGTGAATGTTGGTATTTTAATGTACAGTGTTTCGTTTTTTCAGTCTCCAATTAAAAAGGTGATCAAAAAGGAGGAGGAGTTAGAGGAGGAGCCACCTGAAAAGGAGGAACTTGATTGGTGGTCTAAATATTATGCGTCTCTGGCTGAACTCGAAAAACAGGTGAACAATTATATTAAAGGATATGTAATACTGATTTGGGTACTAATTGTTAATTGAAGTTGTAATTATGATATTGTATAATTAAGATTATTAAAAAAAGTTTCACAATTTTAGTTATTCAACATTTTATGCTTAATGAATTACTTTGTAATTAATTGTGAAATCTAATAACAACTTCTAAGGGGATTTTTTTTAGTGTGCATTACTGTTTTACTTAATTGAAGATTTTGCAAATACAGTTTTAATACTTAGACAATAAATTCAAAATTATGAGAATGAATTTGCAGTATTACAAGAATAAAGTTGTAAAAATATGAGATAAACTGTGAAATTGTGAGAATTAAGTTATTTAAATGCTTATTTAGAGTTAGAAAATTAGTATATTAGTAATTTTGAGTTCTCAAAATATGATTTTATATGATTTAATTACAATTTATTTAAATTATTATTTGTTTATTAATATTTTTTTTAAACATAGCACTAAGATTGCGTTATATATTCCTCAACATAAAAGTCTTGTTTCCCTTTCTTCTTTAGGAAGAGAAAGAGGATGACTTGGAAGATGGACAGGATGGAGGTATTATACATGTTAGCAGGATTAAATTGTGATCACTACAACAAATTCAGCCAAAATGGAAAAAATTGAGGCTTCAAAACTTGTTTAAACAATTTAGCTATGCTTAAAATAATCATCTAGCTCATTACAAAACAAAACAGCAAAATTAAAAAAGCGAAACCCATTTACTCTCCTGTGAGTGTGTGTAGATCATAGGTCTCAAACTCGATTCCTGGAGGGCTGCAGCTCTGCACAGTTTTGCTCCAACCAAGCGGCAACCTCCCACTCTCCCTCGTGAAACAAATATTCTGCTAGCCCTGGCTCCATAATAGAGCACATTTCTATTGACCCCACTGTTAAAATGGCCAACTTTACAGCAGAAAAAAAGGTGTTTACAGCCTGGTACAAAGAACGATTTTGTTTCATATAGCTTCATGAGAACTGTGAGAGGGGTTTTATTTAACTCATCCGTTGCCTTAATAATAAGTTATATCAAGCCTGCATATTGAAGGGCGTGGCCACTTGAGTGACAGCTAGGTACCACTGCTTATCATCTCAGCTGATTCCAGCTGATTAGCCGCTGAACTCGGCAAATACATTGTATTTTTGTTTTGTTTTATGTAGCTTTACACAGTCAGTTGCTTTTTAGAATTATTTCTTACAATTATCAGATAATATGGCATGCTGTGTGCACTTAATTGTGCTCACAAACCATTCACGTGGCCTCCATTTCCCAGGTGAGTGAAATTATACACTTATACCATCTCTATAAATGTATTTGTTTTATTTTAGATAATTTATAATTTACTTTAGACTTGTAATGCACTCCAGAATCTGACAGATGGATTAGCTGTAGGCTCTAGAACTGTCATCTGAAATGTTGTCATACAGTGTTATGCCTGGATTTCATAATAAGCCTTGCATTTACTGACAGACTACATTTGAAGCACTTTGAAGCAATTTGCGTTTTCCTCCTGTAGAAAAATGTCATAAGAGCATCGCTTTGTGGTTCAGTGAAATACAAAAGTGTTTTTAAAAGTCTTAACACTTAATTGATATATTATACAACCAAGCACATGTGGTCAGAACACAAACGAGTCGCAGATAATAAAGTATTAAGCATTTCTCCCTAAGAAAAGCCTGTCTAAACAAAATGCTAGCAGGCGTCTGTAACTCCTCTCATGCTCAGCATCTTTGTCCTTATTTGGTATCCCTCGGTTGGCGCGATGAAGCGAACAAAATGGCAACGCTTGGCCACGCCTACTGGAAGCTTGTTTTGCGTTCTTCAGAAACCTATGGGTGAAGTCACGGATACTGCGTCCATATCTTTTACATTTTATGGCTCCAACCCTAATTAAACACAGCTGATCCATTTAATCAAGGTGTTCAAGACTGCTAGAGACTATTAAGCAGGTGTAAGTCTGAGGTTGTTGAAGCTAAACAATGCAGCTGTGGCCCTCCAGGAATTGAGTTTGACATCACTGGTGTAGATAAAGGTAAGCATAAAGATAAAGATGAACTGAAACACAAAACAAAATTGCTTTAGAAATGACAAATTTAGCCAAATTAACACTGCTATATTTTTATAAGTCACCACTCTGCTGTGTTCTGCAGACCTCTTTGTAGTTGAATTAAACCTTTGCTTAATTAACAAACTTAACAATTATTGAATTGAAATTAATCAACACCAAGTTGTCTTTACATAAATAATGGCACTATATCGAAACAATAGGTGTTGTAGAAAGTGCTATATTAATTAAGAAGACTTGACTCAATGTATTAGTTAGCATGAGTTTAATGTCTCAGATGGAGCGCCGCTGACCATGTCTGCACTGGAGGCAGAGGATGATGAAGGTGTGACTGAAGTAGATTCTCCTGCTCCAAAAAGGAAGAACATTTGCACCTTACAGGTTTGAAAATGTTCTATAAACTGCTACTTTTCAATTAATATGTGTTTACAGCGCTTCAACTCTTAAAGCATATTCCAGAATTCATTTCTGATGCTTTTTGTGCAATTTTAATTGCGTTCCTTCAGCTTTACAAGTTTGAACTGGAAAACGACTTCAGTCAGTTCATGGACTGGTTGCACATATTTCCTGTCTACAAAGGCAAATCTAGTCTGGAAGATGAAGAGGAAGATGAAAGTTCGAGATATATGGGTAAATATAAGGTAAGATGCGCGAGCTCACATGCCTTAGATCAACAGTGTGACAGCGTGCATGAAGGAAGCTGTGGATTAGAGGTTAAACCACAGCTGTGCTTCGTTGCAGGGATCGTTTCTTATATACCCCATTGCTCCTGAAGACGAGGAAGCGGACTGTCAGATCACTAACGGGATTCCCAAAAATACACCTATCAAAGTCCTTGTGAGGGTGTATGTTGTAAAAGTGGGTATAAAAGTTCACATTTTACAGTTCTATTTTGCATATACATGTTACATACTTATCAGGGATTGAAACTGCTTCTGAGCCAAATTTTAAAGTGTATCTCTTCTTAAGCCTCTCAAGCTGTAACAACCAAACTCTCATCAGAACTTCAGATTATTCTAACTTGGCTTGCTATAGCTTTTCTAATTGATCCGATGTACAGTTTTCTGACGATAATAATAATTATAAAAACTCCCCTTGACTTGCCATTGGACCAAAGTTTTTGAGCTCATACCTCCACGTCAAACTGTTGTACAGACTTGTGGCTGGGCTCATTTTACTCTGTCAAGAGAGCAGCCAATAAATGATGACTTTTTAACTTTGTAACCATACCCTAGCAACTAGTTACGTCACCCTATCAACCCACCGCATAGACTTTTATTGTAAAAATTGTAAAAAAAAATTATTGTCTATTGTAAAAAAGTTTTATTGATCCGATCTTTGAATCAGAGTCCTGGCTAGGTCAGTTGGCATATCTGTGTAGAGTTTGCATGTTCTCCCAGTGTTTGCATGGGTTTTGTCCATGTGCTCCGATTTTGCCCAGTCCAAACACATGCGCTGTAGGTGAATTGGATGAACTAAATTGACTGTTAGTAAATGAATGTGTGTGTGAATGTGAGAGTGTATGGGTGTTTCCCAGTGCTGGGTTGCAGCTGGAGGAGCATCCGCTGCATAAAACACATTCCGGAATAGTCGGCGGTTTATTCCACTGTGGTGACCCCTGAAAAATAAGGGACTAATCCGAAGGAAAATGAATGAATAAATAAGATCTTTAAATCAGAATATTGTCGTAAAGCTGGGCTATTTGAACTGCCAATAATATTTTCAAGACAGCATCTTAGCCACGCTTTAGCAACCATTTAGACAACAATAGCAACTAAAATGATTATCTTTGAATCTGAATAAAGGCAGTATGTTTGTTTTCTATCATTTGTAATGGCAGGCAGTTGTCTAGAAACCACCTTCAACACCCTAGCAAACAAGTAACCACCAAGAACAGCAGAGCAACCACTCTGAATACTTTTAGAACCACAAAACAACACCCTGTATCGTTTAAAAATATTCAGAGTCATCAAGTTGTAATAAGCAAGTGTTAATCTGCACCTTATATATAATCATACCTCACGTAGTTATAATTTCCAGATAATTTTATATTTCCGGTAACCTTTTTTTTTTAAAAGATATACATGAAATACTAAAGAAAATAGCTGTGTCTAATTCTATACTTTTTTTATTTAGTTAGAAATTATAAATTTCTTTATCCATGATCCCTCAACAGATATTTTACTGACGTTAGGTAAATTTGCAAGTACTTTATTTACTAACATTAAACTTAACAGACTAGTAATACTACTGTATATGTGTATTTTATTTAAAACCAATTTCGAGAAAAGCGCATGCTTATGTTTGAATATGGCTGGTCCAGCATTAGCTAATACATAATCCACCAATCAGTCAATTCCTCACTCACCATAATTAACCAGAATTCCTTACCTCAGTGTCTTCGTTTTTAAGAATCCTGCCTTCCACCCCTACTCATTTTTTCTTTCTTAACATGGTGGCATGGCGGCGCAGTGGTCAGCACTGTTGCCTCATAGAGAGAACGTCACTGCTTCAAGTCCTTACTAGGCTAAACGACATTGCTGTGTAGAGTTTACATGTTATCCCTGTGCTCGGGTGGGTTTCCCCCGGGTTCCCCGGTTTCCTCCCACAGTTCAAAGGCATGCAACATAGGTTAATTGAACAAAACAAATTGGCGCTATGGATGAGCTCTAGCCAGCAGTATACTGTATTTCCACAGTAATTGTGGAAATTATAGCAGGGAAGTTCTTGAGATCCACCCGAGCTCAAACTTCCCTCTCACCCTTTAATCGGGAGGTAGCCCCGGGCTCTAGGATCTTTTGAGCTCAGGGCTCTCTCCCGGGACAGCATGTCAAATATGCTTTTTTTATCAACCGTCAGCTGAGTGTGAACTCCTGAATGATAGTTGACATGTTTTTGACAAGTCACTTATAATCAAAATAATGTCTTTAGGGCACTATCAAAATAAATGTAACCATTTTCATTGATATTTTCTGTGCATTTGTTAGAATTTGAACTTTTTCTTCTTGTGAACTCAAAGGCAACCAATCTGGCTCCCACAGACCCAAATGGAAAGGCAGACCCCTATGTAGTGGTGAAAGTTGGCCAGCAGCAAATGGACAGCAAAGAACGCTACATTCCTAAACAGCTGAACCCAGTGTTTGGAGAGTAAGTGGCATCTGTTCACAAGACAAATAGTAGACACCATTAAACCTTAGTATGTTAATAAGCATCAAGTAGTAACTGTAAAGTACAGATCCTGAGGAAAACTACTCAATTACAGTCATTTGAGTGTTTATAATGCATTACTCTACATCACTGACAATACTATATCCTGGTCTTTCCACAGAGTGTTTGAACTGACCGTGTCCTTCCCTCTGGAGACAGAGCTCACGCTGTATGTGTTTGACCATGATCTTGTGGGATCTGATGACCTCATTGGCAAAACTCGCGTGGACCTGGAGAACCGTTTCTTCAGCCGCCACCGTGCCGGGTGTGGCCTGGCCCTTCATTATGATAAGTGGGTAATGGTTGTGATGATGGTGCTGATAATGATTCTAATGATGATTAGTGCTATTATCTTTGTCGTGACCACTACTATCGCTGTCATTATTATTTTTGTCAGATTCTGAAATTTCTAAAAGCTCATCAACTGCTTACTTTCACAGAGCTCTCGGCTGATTGTTTGCAGCTGCGGCGTTTTAAAAGACTGAGACAAATCAAGCAGTTTTGTGGCCTGATTTTCGTTTGACTCCACAGGTTAAATCAGATTAAGCTGTCTTGTGATTTCAGGGATGGCTATAATAAATGGAGAGATGCCAAGAAGCCCACTGCGATATTATTGGAGCTCTGCCGCAAAAATGGGATTCCTTCTCCGGAGTACAGAGAGTCTGAAATTAAAGTGCTCAACAAGATCTTCAGAGTTCCCAACGAGGCTTTTCCAGAGGGTAGAAGTGCTATTTTATTCATTCAAAATAATGATTAGGAAGTGTCTTCATGTAAAACAAAAAGTAATGTTGTGTTCTGTTTTCTGAAAGGAAGTTTAGTTTTGGTCAAAACAGAGATACAGGAGCTGTAAAAAATATTCACATACTTTTATTGTTTTATGATATTGTTGAAAAAGAATAAATGATGGAGGGTACGAAGAGAGAACCAGGTCCAGGAGACTCAAAACAAGCAGAATTCTTTAATTGAGAAGTGTTGGTTAATCTGCAGTCATACAGCGTCTTTAAGTTGTCCATGTGTCCACAGAGCCTACTTTAGGTCTGCAATCTGCAAGTTCTATCACAAGTCTGAATTAAGACAAAGCTGTTCTGTCTATAATGTGTTCTTAAGAGGAGAGTAAACTGCCTTTTCAGGCCTGATCTCATCATGTTCTGGAGACAGAAACCACCTGACCAGTTGACCGAAAAGAGAACACTTTGCATTACTTTGGAATATAAATTTATATTCCCACAATATTCACCCATGACATTTGCCTTTAAACTACTTAAAAGAAAAATATTTTTATTTATATTATTATATATTTTTATTCTATTGTATATGCAGCAGGCACTTTATTTGGTACCCTACATCAGCTGTTCATTAATGCAAGTATTAAATATCTAATCAGTTAACAACTGATGGATTATACTGGAATAACTCAATGGATTTAGGCACAACATAGTCAGATGTTGCCAATATCGTACAGTATATGCATGATGTATACATTACTAACATGATTTACCTAATAAAGGAATATACACACAAACTAGCCTATATTTAAAGTGGATCAAAAGTTTTTTTTTTTAATATTGTAGTAAGACAATAATCTGTGTTGTTCCATAGTCCACTTTAATCCGCTTCAAATGATGACTAATATATAAATATATATATACACATACAATAATTGTAGAGAGTTGTTTACTTCTCTGCTTCACTCTATGTCGGTGAAGTTAAACAGAAGAGTATAGAAGAGTACAGAAGAGGCTGTACAAGTCAGCCAATCAGATTCGAGAGCCAGACAGAACTGTTGTATGTATATACATTTACCGGTCACTTTATTAGGTACACCTGTCCAACCCCTCGTTAATGCAAATTTCATATCAGCCAATCACATGGCAGCAACTCAATGCATCTAGGCACGCAGACATGGTCAAGACAATCTGCTGCAGTTCAAACCGAGCATCAGAATGGGGCAGAAAAGTGATTTAAGTGACTTTGAATGTGGCATGGTTGTTGGAGCCTGTCTGAGTATTTCAGAAACTGCTAATCTGCTGGGATTGTCACGCACAACCATCTCTATTATTTACAGAGAATGATCCTAAAGGCTACAGTTTGCACAGGCTCACCAAAATTGGACAGTAGAAGATTGTAAAAATGTTACCTGGTTTGAAGAGTCTCAATTTCTGCTGCAACATTCAGATAGTGGGGTCAGAATTTGGTGTCAACAACATGTAAGTATGAATCCATCCTGCCTTGTATCAACAGTTCAGGCTGGTGGTGTAATGTGTGGGGGATATTTTCTTGGTACACTTTGGGCCCATTAGGACCAACTGACCATCGTGTCAATGCCACACCCTTACCTGAGTTTGTTGCTGACCATGTCCATCCCTTTATGACCACCGTGTACCCATCTTCTGATGGCTGCTTCCAGCAGGATAACGGGCCACATCATAAAGTGTAAATCATCTCAGATTGGTTTCGTGAACATGACAATGAGTTCACTCTAGTCAAATGGCCTCCGCCGTCACCAGATCGCAATCCAATAGAGCACCTTTGGGATGTAGTAAAACGGGAGATTCGCATCATAGATGTGCAGCCGACAAATTTGCAACTGTGTGATGATATCATGTCAATATGGATCAAAATCTCTGAGGAATATTTCCAGACCCTTGCCATGAAGGATTAAAACAGTTTTGAAGGCAAAAAAGGGTCCAACCCGGTACTAGTAAGGTATCCCTAATAAAGTGGCTGGTGAGTGACACAAACTTGTATGTGACATGGGTATGACCTAGGCATTAAAATGATAAGGTAGTATATGAAGTCATTCCTGAGTCCTTGTAATTCAAATTTTCAAATTTCAAAAAAATTCCAGTCAAATTTTGCTACAGGTTTGCTGTGAAAGTTGGGTTTGGGGGAAGGGATACAGTAGGGTAAGGACAAATAACCATTTTTTTACAGTATAAAATGCATAATGCTTATGAAGAGTCCTCATAAACCACCAAAACCAACATATGTGTGTATAAACAAAATGCTTCTGATAGAACACCATGTTTGATGTACTCTATCTGATGTGAGGTATACATAATTATGAAATATATATGCTGTAGAGTTGCTGAAGAAGAATAAGAAGACAGAGGAGGACTACGCAGAGCTGGATGAGCACAAAGCTCTGAGTGTCCTGCATCGCTGGAAGGAGATGAGAGAGTTCTGCGAAGGAGCCTGTCCACTGGTTCCTGAGCATGTGGAAGTTCGCTCACTGCTCAATGCGGAGAAGCCGGGCCTCCCTCAGGTCAGACTCCATCACAACATACACAGCGACTGGAGAGCATCGTTAGTCATAGCCTTTTTTGTCATAGATGTATTGTTTTTTGTTTTGTTTTGTTTTGTTTTGTTTTACTTTGTTTAGTTTTCTGTTTTCTTTTGTTTTTCTTTTATTTTTGTTTTTTGTTTTCTTTTGTTTGCCTTTGTTTTGTTTTGTTTCCCTTTTGTTTCGTTTTTATTGTTTTATATGTTAGTTCATATTTTATAATTGTTTTATTTTCTATTTTGTTTAATTTAAAAAAAATATCCTATCTTATGTTTTATATTTCACTTTTAGATATTTTTGTATATTTTATTTCTATCATTTATTTTGAAATAAAATAAAATAAACAATTAGAAAATAAAATAAAGATCATTGGAATGGATATATTTATAATATAGTTCAAAACACTCTTTTATACGGTGTATTGTTATTTTTATGTCCTCTAACTTACTAGTTTTTTTACTGAATGTCTTTCCTGAGGTAAATGTAACTCGTTATATGACATTTGAAACACTTACTCAGTGAAAAAATGAGGTACAATATTTCAATAATTTGTACTGATTCTGTCAGTATACCTTCTAATGTTCAGTCATTTTTAAAATCTTGTCATAACTATAGTAAATTTGCTCTTCGTCTAACTTCATCTCCTCCCTGTTCTTTTTATTGACACTGAAATCTGATGCCACATGTGACACATCTGATGCCAATCTGACACTGAAGTCTGATGCCACAGGTCTCGCCTTCTCTATCTCAGCTTACATGAAAAAGTGATTAGGTGATAATTTCATAGAAGATTGGCTGACATTGATTAGACAATAGACTTTGTGAGACAAAAGACCTCTACTAGCAATCATCAACTAAGAATTATGAAATACAGGAAAACACTGATTTTCATGATATGTTGGAAAACTAAAAATAGAAGTGGAATAGGACTGTTTTGAAAGGAAAAACTAGATGTGCGGTCACCTTATTTATGACCCATGCAATGTGTTAACAAGTAAACTTTTTAGGGTTATTTTATAATTCATCAACAGCCTGAAAGCCCCGCCTCCTTCACTGTATGGTTAAATCACTTGAGTACATGTGTCCCATACTTCACACTTCATTTTTTTCAGGTTATTTAAGTGCATCATTTGGGTATTTAAAGTGCCTTTTTCTCTTTTTTTAATGTGAACACACTACTAGCACTATTTATACCTAAAAAATTTAAGTTCATAAATACGTAAACATCTTACGTTACACATCTTATGGTCACATCTTAAGGTCACTTATCTCTGTTTGTCTTTTGTATGACAGGGTTATGTGCACATGTGGATTGACATGTTTCCTGTGGATGTTCCTCCACCACCACCTGTTAATATTAAACCTAGACTTCCAGAGAGGTAATCAAGATTATTTCCCTCATTATAATGAAGCGATAAAGTGAACTTTTTAAAAAGTCATGCAATGTCACCAGAAAGACTAACTACAATGAATTAAAGATCTGATTTTCGTTTTTTAACACAAAAGATTATAATTAGTCTGGTCTTTTTAATTAGCATCTTGCTGATGTGCTGCATTTGTGTAATGAGAGAATATTTATTCCCATGTGTCTAGTTATGAGCTGCGTGTGATCATCTGGAATACTGATGATGTCGTGCTGGATGATGTCAACCCTTTCACTGGAGAGCCTTCAAGTGACATCTATGTTAAAGGGTCAGAATAAACAAGAAATAAATAGCAGATTTTAAGATTTAAAATCTCTCCATTGCATTTAAAATTTCTTCAATCATTTTGCAAGATACTAGTATTCAGCTTAAAGTCGAATTTACTAGGTTAATTAGTTAACTTGGTAAGTTTGGTTAATTAGGTAAATCATTGGCAGAGCCAGATGGAATCTGCGGACGTTTTTTGCTATCTCTGCAGAGAATTTTGGTAAAAATCTGTGGATTTCTGCTGAATTATTTTGGGAGGATCATAACTAAAACCTTAATATGTGAAATTAAAAATAATACCTTTTTAACTTTTATTTAATGTTTAAAATGCAAATCCAGTTAGATTCACTTTATTTGGTAAACAAAGCAAGTCTCTTACACAATATCTCTACTAAAACAGAATATATATACAGAATTTATATATATATATATATATATATATATATATATATATATATATATATATATATATATATATATATATACAGACTTTACAGACTGTATTGTACATAAATCAGATGAACATTTTCATATTAGTCAATATTATTACTGTAATTAATTAAAAACTGAATAAATATGGATTTACACACATTTACGCAATTAAATAAACAGAATTAATAAAGGGCTAAAAATCTGCGGAATTCTGCAGATTCCTTGTGGGCCTAATCATTAGACAACAGTGGTTTGTTTTGTAGCCAATTTAAAAAAATCTTAAGGGGTTTAATAATATTGACGTCATAATAATTATTTAAAAAATATTCCAGTTAAACAAAAAATAAAAAGACTTTCCCCAAAAGACTTTTTCCAAAATATTATAGAAAATACTGTGAAAATGTTCTTTCTCTGTTAAACATCACTTGGGAAATATTTGAAAAAGAATACTAATTTCAAAGGAGGCCTAACAAGTTTGCCCTCAACTATATATATATATATATATATATAACACAAACTGATTAAGTTAACTTAATCGTATTTACTAATTCAAGTAGATTGAACATAAAACAATTTGCTTGTTCCAAAAAAATCTTATGAATTGTAATGTTTCAGGTCATTTTAGGGTGTTTTCACACCTGCCTTATTTAGTTTGGTTAAATCGAACTGGAGTTCGTTTTCCCTTTTGATGTGGTTTGTTTGGGCAGGTGTAAATGTAGCAATCGCACTCGAGTTCTCCTCAAAAGCAGACCAAAAAAAACGTACCAAGACCGGTACACGGTACACTCGGTACACTCTCAAACGAACCCTGGAGCTGTTCGTTTGTAGTGTGAACATGATACGAACAAAAACAGACCCAATCGCAAAAAGTGCTGCATTTTTTGGACTAATACAACTGCTGTAGTCCAATGCGCTGTCCTATCTTATGGGGTGTGGAGAAAAATACTTGCTGACAGCGCTTTACCAACAATTTTAAACAGTGAAAGAGAGAGGGAAAAACATTACCTGATGGATCGTTGGTAATATTTTCGGAAGATGACAATGTCGCAGTTTAGCTAAATTAATTCACACCTCCTCCTGAAGTGAATTGCGATGCGCCTTCGTTGTTTGCAATGCATTAAAACATTGTCTTCCAGCTGCAGCTGCAGCTTCATTCTTGAAATGTATAATTTATCTAAAGTAATTTATACGAACTATATAGTATATTATGACCAGGGATACAATCAGCCAGGGCAGTCGTCCCTCCAAACTAAAAAGCGACATTTTGTGTCTGCCGGTTTGTTTACTTGCAAGAGTTCCATTGGTATTTTCTCACATGGTAATTCTGACCAATCGAGTTTAGGAAATACGTTCAATAACATCTGGCCAATGAGTGATGTGGATTTTGTCACATGACTGCATTTTGGTTCTTTTCAACTGGTTCGGACCAAAGCAATCTATGTGGTGTGAAAAGAAAATGGCAGAAAAATGCTACAATGGATCATTTGGTCCTGACCAAATAAACCGAACCACAGATGTGAAAGCACCCTTAAATAATAAGTTTGAACAAACAGCAGTACGTCAATTGTACATCAGTGCTACTAAAAATGACAATATTTGTATAAATATATCATGCATGATTAATTATATGAGGGAAATATAACATTAGCTTTATATTTTATATGTTCACCAGCTGGATTAAAGGTCTGGAAGATGAGAAACAGGAGACAGATGTGCATTTCAATTCCCTGACTGGTGAAGGCAACTTTAACTGGCGCTTTGTCTTCCATTTTGACTATCTTCCCACTGAGAAGGAGGTCATTTACAAGAAGAAGGAGTCTCTGTTCGCCCTTGAGGAGACAGAGTTTCGCCAGCCGGCTGTTCTGGTACTGCAGGTCTGGGATTATGACCGCATCGGCTCCAATGACTTCTTGGGTTAGTAATGTAGTTCATACACGAAATCTATGTATTGTCTATAAAAACATAAATTAATGAAATTCTTGTGGCTTAGGATCCATAGAGTTGCGTCTTAGTGATATGGTCCGTGCGGTGAAAACTTCAGAGCAATGCAGCGTCAAAATGGCTAAAGACAAGGCTGGCCCTCGCTTCTCCATCTTCCGCAGCAAGAGGATGAAGGGCTGGTGGCCACTCATCAAACTGAAAAGCCAAGAGGATATCGAGAGAGAGGAGAGGGAGGCTGAGCAAGAGAAGAAAAACAAGAAGAAGAAGAAAAAGAAGTCAAGCAAACGAAGCCAAATGAAACCGGAAGATCTGCAGTTTGTGGACAACAGCGGGAACACCTTCCTCTTAATGGTACAAGCACTTAAATAGTAGCACATATAGTTTCTTTTTAAAGGCAAACTCACAGTTTTTCATTTGTTTTGTGGTTTTAGGGTAAAGTAGAAGCAGAGTTTCACCTTGTGACCCCTGAGGAAGCTGAAAAGAACCCTGTAGGAAAAGCGCGCAAAGAACCTGAGCCTCTGGACAAACCAAAGTAAGGAGATAAACATATTTGAGGCAAAAAAAGCTCTTGAAATCTCATAACAAAATCAGGCCAAAACAAGAGTTTTGAAACACCCTTTGGACAGCCATTGGTTAGATGTAGTAATACATGGGTGTGGGTCTGAGTCTCTGCCTTCTTTGATAGGGAAATCTTCTCTAGTTCATTTCAATTCAGTTTGATTCATGTTTATTTCTAGAGCGTTTTTACAATGTAGATTGTGTCAAAGCAGGTTAACATAAAAGTTCTAGTAAACTGAAACTGTGTCAGTCCAGTTTTCAGAGTTGAAGATCAGTTTAATAAAGTATCTTGAGTTTGTGTTTAACACAAACCTTATTTAACAATTTAACTGAAACCCATTCAAAAAACCCATTGATTTTGGGACGAGGGAACCGGAACTGCTAAAATGCTAACTCGCTTCCAGGCTTTTGCATACAAATTGACGTCATAGTTCCTCCGCTCAATTGTTTAGAACTACAAACTTGGGTGAAAAGTGCTAACAAACTACAATTATGGTAGACGTGCGAGATCGACAATTCAGCAGGGAGGCTTTGGTAAGATGTTTGAATGGTTGGTAATTAATATCTTACCCGATTAAAAACATTTATTTTAGAAATTATATTTCATCTGCAAAGACAATGTGAAGTTTTATAAAGACAAGTTTGGTCATTAACTTCTGAAGGCATAATAGTTATGCAAATGCCTGAGGAGATTTCTCTGCATGAAAACCCCACAAATGGCAGATTAACATGCTGCTGAATCACCAATATGGTAGGGAATTAAATATGGAAGAAATGTATATGATGTGACATGATGATTGACAGGGTATGTTACTAAGCAACAGAAAGGTTCGTTATTGAGGAAGTAGTCAATCCCAAAGCTTGCATAAACTACTGTTGCACACTTTCTTCACAAAACATACATACCTTTAAGATGTTGTATAAATACGCTGAAAAGAGCTGAATCAACACAATTTTTTGGGGACAGCCTAATTGTTTTGTTTTCAATCCACTTAAAGTTGTAAAAACAATTAAGTTATCTTAATTGATTTCTGTTGGGACAACATATGTGAAACATGTAGAACCCAGCCTTTTTCAGTCTAGGCAAATTGGGCAAATCATGATTTTTATTTGGTTTCAGTGTAGAGCTGCTGTGTAAATCAACTTGAATTAACAAATTAGTGGGCGAAGCTAAAGAGACATGGCTTCTTCTGTTAAGGGAAAGTTTAGACAAACTATTACATAATAAAGAAGCACATTCACAGTCTGTTGGCAGATTAGCTTCAGTATTATCTGTATTTAGTAGAACAAAAAAGTTTTGAGTTCTGAAACTTGCAGGATTTTTTTATATACTGTGACCAGGGGGCGTATTACAGCGGAGTTTGAGTGGGGTTGACCCCCTAATAATTGCTTGGTCCCCCCCTGAAGGACATCAAAACAACATGTATGTGTGTGTGTGTGTGTGTGTGTGTGTGTGTTTTCTCTTTAATACTGAGTAAAAAATTCCTTTGCTTTGCGTTTTAAATAATAATGTAATAATTAAAATGAATATAAAAAAATCTAATTAATAGCATAATAATAGGGGGGGTTCAGCTCTTTAATACTGAGAAAAAAAATCCTCTGCTTTGTGTTTCAAATAATAATGTAATAATTAAAATGAATATAAAAAAATCAAATTAATAGCATGATATACTTTTGACCACATACTTTTGACCACCCCTATAATCGTTCATACCACAGTGAATGCATAATCGCGCCAATCAGTCTGCAAGAAAAAAAACTCATTTAACAGTCTGAACCCGGCAGATCTAGAGCACCGGTAGACTTTTTTTTTTTTTAAGTAAAGTCAAATTAGATTCATAGTTTGACGTACAGCAACCTGAGAAGACACAAATCATCCCACAAAATTCTGAAAACTTAAATACATTTTATTATTAAATTAGATAAATTAAATACATACATTTGATTCACTGAAGCATGTTACAAATACTAACATTACCAAAAAAGTTATAATTCACACCCTGACTGTGACCACTTGCATGTGAAAAGATGAAGTGAGTTTTGATTTCTCAGTTCATGACCCCTTTAATTGTAAATATTGTAACTTTTATAAATATGTTTTTGTTCCCTTAAGCCGTCCCAAGACATCCTTCAACTGGTTTGTGAACCCCATGAAGACCTTTGTGTTCTTCATCTGGAAGAAGTACAAGAAGTACATCATTGCTTTGATCATTCTGGTTATCCTGGGGCTCTTCCTCGGCCTCATCCTCTACACTATGCCGTCACACATCAGCCAGCTCATTGTTAATGGATGAGAAGGTGGAAACACACAGAAACACAGACAGACATAATGATGCCTGCTTTATGTGCACATAGAAATCATTTACATTCAATGGAAAAGCCATAACAAATAGAGTAAGACTTAAATTGTAGTTTAGTGCTTGATTTAGTGTACATTACAGTTCAGGTATTTTTTCATTGCATATGTTTTACACTGCGGATGCACTTCCAGCTGCAACGCATCACTGGGAAACGTCCATACACTTTCACATTCACATTCATGCACTACAACCAAATTAGTTTATTCAATTCACCTATACCACATGTCTTTGGACTGTGGGGACAACCAGAGCACCTGGAGGAAACCCACGCGAACACGGGGAGAACATGCAAACTCCACACAGAAATGCCAACTGATCCAGCCAAGACTCGAACCAGCGACTTTCTTGCTGTAAGGTGACAGTGCTAACCACTGAGCCACCATGTTGCCTGTCATTAAGATCTTTTTAAATCAATAATTTTGATTAGATATGACAAAATATAACTTTAAAATGTACTGTAAAGACTTTACAAAGACTTGTGTTCTTTTAAAGAGCCCTAAAAACTAATTATATTGCATAAATATTGATCACAATAATAATAATATTAATAGTAATTATTGTTTCTTGACCACTAGCTTAGCATATTAAAATGGTAAGAAGTAATGGAAATTCAGCTTTGAATCACAGGGAATTTGTTCCCATAGAAAATGGGTTTAAATGTAAATAATATTTCATAATATTATTGTTTTATTGTGTTTTTTTTATTTCAATAAATGCAGTCTTAACAGAAAAACACAAAATCTACTCCAACCTTTAAACAATAATGTAATTTCTAATGACACTATTGTTTTTATGTATAAATTGTTATATTTTAATATTGTTTTGACAATAAAATGATTTTATGATTATTAACTGTAATGGACTTATTACATTTAACACCATTTTTATTATTATTATTAGCAAAGCATACAGACTGGAATAACACACTTTATTAGGTACACCTGTCCAACTGCTCGTCAATGCAAATTTCTAAGCAGCATATCACATGGCAGCAACTCAATGCATTAAGGTATGTAGACATGGTCAAAACATTCTGCTGCAGTTCAAACTGAGCATCAGAATGGGGAAGAAAGGTGATTTAAGTGACTTTGAACACGGCATGGTTGTTGGTGCCAGACGGGCCGGTCTGAGTATTTCAGAAACTGCTGATCTAATGGGATTTTCACACACAACCATCTCTAGGGTTTACAAAGAATGGTCAGAAAATGAGAAAATATCCAGAGAGCAGCAGTTCTGTGGGTGCAAATTACTTGTTGATGCCAGAGGTCAGATGAGAATGCCTAGACTGGTTTAAGCTGATAAAAGGCAACAGAAACTCAAATAACCACTCAGCACAACCGAGGTATGCAGAAGAGCATCTCTGAATGCACAACATGTCCAACCTTAAGGTGGATGTGCTACAGCAGCAGAAGACCACACCGGGTACCACTCCTGTCAGCTAAGAATAGGAAACTGATGCTACAAGTTGCACAGGCTCACCAAAATTGGGCAATAGAAGTTTGGAAAAATGTTGCCTGGTCTGATATGTCTCTCTTCGGATGGTAGGGTCAGAATTTGGCGTCAACAACATGAAAGCTTTGGGATTTGGTGGAACTGGAGATTTGCATCATGGATGTGCAACCGACAAATCTGGATCAACTGTGTGATGCTATCATGTCAATATAGACCAAAATCTCTGAGGAATATTTGCAGTACCTTGTTGAATCTCTGCCACAGAGAATTAAGGCAGTTCTGAAGGCAAAAGCAGGTTCAACCTGGTGCTAGTAAGGTGTACCTAATAAAGTGGCTGGCGATTGTATATCAATTCACCACTCTCCCCTTTATTCTCTTTAATCTAGGGTGTCCAATAAATTAAAGTTAACAGTAAAACTGGAGTACAATATCAAAAATAAGAGCTCAATAGAATACAAAATACACATAAGGCAATCATTCTGGGTCCAGATCATTGCTTTGTGCACTAAACATGGAGATTTTGTCAGCAACTGACAAGTCCATATCCTTAATGTACACATTTGTATCAAGTTCACTGGAGCTGTAGATAATTCCAACATTATAATGTTTCGAAGTTGTACCAACTGTTCGTACATGTCCAAGTTATGTGAAGGAAGCCAATGCTGTGCTACATAAATAGCTCTCCGTAGCTTGGTAAGATTCAACGCAGAATCATCACTAAGTAATCATATGGAAGGATTCATCGGTATACCATCGGTATATTAATATCAGGATAATCAATAGCATCCAATTAGGATAGGATAGGTTAACGCACACCTCATTACAAACGTTTTGCACTGATATATCTGACATAACATTTTTCATATCTGTGAAGCCATTGTGCTATTTTAGATTTATGATTCATATTCTACATTCACACCTTGCAAACAATTCGAAAAAAAAAGAGATCCAGACTCATTCATATAACCAGGAACATTTCTCCAGCATCATTAGATGACATTGACCAGCCTGCTACAACAATTCTGTTTGTCTCATGCATAGTAATAATATAAAACACGATACTAAGTGCCTTAATGATAGTAAATTATGTGTTTGACTGTCTTCACTCTAGAAAACAGCACTCTGGCTTACACTGCAGTACATCTAAACCCACTCGTGTGAGATAATTGCCTGTGATATTGAGAAGGGTAATTATATAGAATGCATCATTGAGGCTTGACTGTCACTTGGGAATGAAACTAAAAACAGCTAATGGACATGCAAATGATCTCTTAATTTTAACCACCGTTTCCATGGTTATCCTCAAAAACTGAACTGACGAGTCTATGTACATCTGTAGGCTATATAGCTTAACATTTGGACTAGATGTAACAATCAACCTTAAGACATTCTTGAAAATACTGTGTCACGTGAATGAATATGGAAATGATCTGAATTGCCATCAGCATGATGTGCCGCAGGACTTTTTGTGAGGAGATCCACTTGATGTTCATCTCAGTTGTAATTTGACTGTCAGTTTCATTTCATCAGCTCTCATCAGATACAGTAACTTTTAGGGCGAGTGAATGAATTTATGGAAAATTTTAAATAATCTGGCTGATATTATATACGCTTGAGAGATTCAGTTTCTTTGTCACCCCTTTATTCTTACTATAGCCAAAGTGTTCATGAATTGCAGTTTTTGAAACTTTAGTCTGGCAAATTTCAAATGTTGTGCAATTTTTTTTTAGATGTCTGTGTTTCTGTATGATAACCATCTGATGTTGTTTAGTAAATAGTCACGTGTGTTGTGTGTGTGTTTTAATGAAGGTACTGTATTTTGGGCTGCTCAGTGTTTAGCGTGGTGACCTCACAGCAAGACAGTCTCTGGTTGGAGTCCACACTGGGCCTATTTATATATACATTGGTATAACATACAATAAACATTTGCAATAAATGACAAAGATGTCATGTTTTTAAGATATGTTTATATTCATTTGAACTTCAGAGGAGTTAAGAAATCAATAGTTGTTTGAATAACCATGATTGTCAATCGCAAGAAAATAAAAACATTTTTTATATTGACCAACTTTAAATGCTATAAATGGCAACATTTTTATAGAAATTTGAAGTTTAAGGTTTTTTTTCAAGTATATATTTATATTTGCTTTTTCAAAAGTTAACAATACAGACTCCTCTCTGAACCACCACCTTATTGTGGTGGAGGGGTTTGAGTGCCTGAGTGATCATAAGAGCTATGTTGTCGGGCGCTAATGCCCATGGTAGGGTCTCCCAAGGGAAACAGGTCTTAGGTGACAGGTCAGACAAAGTGCGGTTCAAAAACCGCTTATGTGTTCGATAACATCAAGAACTGTGATGTCGCCCGGTATGGCGCAGCCGGGGCCCCACCCTGGAGCCAGGCCTGGGGTTGGGGCTCATATCCGTGGGAAAAAACCCGGCTGGCCCTAGCCCGAAGGAGCGACATGGGACCATTCTCCCGCAGGCCCACCACCTGCAGGGGGAGCCATAAGGGACCGGTGCATTGTGGAACGGGTGGTGGTTGAAGATTAGGACCAAGACAACCCAATCGTCGGGCACAGAAACTGTCTCTTGGGACATCCACATCGAAATAAGTCAGCTGTGGTGGCTCGGGCATCTGTTTCGGTTGCCTCCTGGGCACCTACCTAGGGAGGTGTTCCAGGCATGTCCCAGCGGGAGGCGGCCTCGGGGAAGACCCAGGACACGCTGGAGGGACTATGTCTCTCGGCTGGCCTGGGAACACCTCGGGACTCCCTCGGAGGAGCTGGAGGAATAGGGAAGTCTGGGGTTCTCTCCTAAGACTGCTGCCCCCGCGACCCGGCCCCGGAAAAGCAGCAGAAGATGAATGAATGAATGAATGTATAACAATACAGAACATTGAAACTAAGTAACAAACAAACAAACTAAAGTAAAACATACGCACACAGTTTATAAAAATAAACAAATAAAAAAAATATATATATACAATTGAAGTCAGATTTATTAGCTCCCTTGTTTATTTTTTCCCAAATTTCTGTTTAACAGAGAGGATTCAACACATTTCTTAACATGATAGTTTTAATAACTCATTTCTAATAACTGATTTTTTTTTTTATCTTTGCAATTAAAGATGTTATCAGATCTTTATAAAGCAAAACAAATATTAGTATTTTATACAAACCCTTACATACTGTCAAAAGCGCTTAGTTACTTTACTTAAAAAGGAAATCCTTTGTCTTAAAGGGATAGTTCATCTAAAACTGAAAAAAAGTTTGGAACCACTCGAGGGTGGGTAAATAGTGAGTAAATATTGATTTGTTGGGTGAACTATCCCTTTAAAAAGGACAGGTTAGTAAGCTTAATAAACCTTCTCCCACTTCTCTTTCTGTAAAACTACTGTCCTGTCAAATAAAGGCAAAAATGCCAAAAATGACTTGGGCCTGTTGGTATGTGTGTGCTGTTGTGTGCAATGTTTTGTATATTTATTACCACCTCAGAGAATATTGGGGGTCGCGAGTTAGTGGCATTGTTATTATGGGGGTTACGGTCTGAAAAGTTTGGGAACTGCTGCTTTAGATAAATGAAAAAAAAAATATTGAACTTAAAATGATTAAAAAAAAATTAAATCTGTTTTAATTAAGGCCAAAATAAAACAAACGAGACATTTTCCAGAAGAAAAAATATTATAAGAATTACTGTGAAAAAATTCCTTTCTCTGTTAAACATAATTT